TTTTGGAAGTTTTTTTTATAATAATCAATCCTATATTCTTTTGGATGATAATTATTCATTACAATTCTTATACTACAAAAAATCTTTATATTTATTTTTAATCAATTTTTTCTTGCTTAATAAATATATCAATGTATTTTTCATAATAAATTTAGACATATTAATCATAAAACATCTACCCTATGCATTATATTATAAATTTTTATTAATATAATGCATTATATTAAGAATTGTAATTATTCATTACAATTCTTATACTACAAAAAATCTTTATATTTATTTTTAATCAATTTTTTCTTGCTTAATAAATATATCAATGTATTTTTCATAATAAATTTAGACATATTAATCATAAAACATCTACCCTATGCATTATATTATAAATTTTTATACTAACCAAATAATTTTTCCATTCTTTAAATATTATAGATTTCAAATGTCAATTGTGAAAATAGCCAAGTTACTCTAAAATTATTATAATTAGAAGAAGTTGGACTTTTCATCCCTAACTTTTAGAGAGTAAGTTATTGGACTTTTCAGGTGTGTCTATTGGACGTGGTTATCTGTCATTGTGTACCTAGAGTTGACGTGGAAACAACTGTAACTGTCAGAGAAACACATGCTCGTATCTTCTCAATGGAAAGTTGCGAGTCGTTGATAGATTTTCAATCCAACGACATATTTGACAGCTACTCCATCTGCATCATATTTCAATGGGTATGAAATGAGAGAGAAACTGTCACTGTCAGCTGTCCATCAGATACCAAAAAAAAAAAAAACAAATCAACCAAAATATATACCCTTACTCCATTCTCCTGCCGACCACCAACCTCCGGAGTAGCGCCCACGACGCCACCGCCACAGCCACAACCCCAGCCCCAACCCCGAGCACGGGCGATTCTTGCGCCAACGTCGGCGTACCGCCACCGCTTTCCCCCACTCTCCTCTTGGACAGAGAGACAGTATAATCTTCCAACACCAATTGTTCCCACAATGCCACCACCACCGTCCCAGTCCCCGACCATGGGCGACTCTTGCGCCACCTCTAGCGTCAACGTATGACCGTCGGTTTCCCCCACTCTCCTTCAAGACAAAGAGCCTACGAAATATTTTAACACTAGCTCTTCCCACCGCACCACCGCCACCGTCGCAGCCGCCGACGTACAACGACAACTTTCCCCCTCTCCATACCATCGTTCATCCGTGGATGATTCCCTTAGTTCATCCGTTGATCAATGTCCTCATTTCGCTAGATCCGACGATCCAGGATCCATGTCCTCCTCCTAGGTCCACTAATGCGCCTCTGCAACTGCCGTCTCGCCAACCTCCATCTCTAGACTCATAATCTGAGCTGTTGGCCGCCGCTGCTATTGGTGAAGAGAATTTCATATGCAACATATGCTCTGCTAAGTTTCAGTATTTAAAGGGAAGGGAATCACACGTGATGAGAAAGATTTAACCTAACAGCAGAAAACGCTATGGTTGAGAGTATATGAGGAAGACGACTTGTTTGGGAGAATCGGTTGAATGCCTTTCTCTGGTTTTCTGCTTGTATATATATCTCTACTAGTTCATAAGCATTGTACATTAACTGTAATATTTAACTAAAAATGGAATGTACTAATTACAAGATGCCATCTGTCACTAATTAATTTGGTTGTCGTTATTCTTCTTAAACCAAGTTGCTGCCATACGACATCGTTGTGTCTTGTGGAGTTGGATACCGCTTGGATCTGAACGTCTATGTTTCCTTGTAAGTTGTCATACAGGTCAAGTTAAAGGAAGCTTGACATGTTCTTCTCTTCTGCTCAATCATGTTGTAAACCTGCAGATTCTCACAATGATCTTTCATATGTCTCCTCAAGTTGTCAAGCACATGTCGTGGCTTAGAAAGTAAATACTGAAAACGATCAACTGATAACCCCTTAGTAAACACATCTGCTAGCTGCTCTTCGGTATTCACATGATGTAAAATTGTAAATTTAGCAGACATGATTTTAACCTTTCACGTATCAGATGGCAATCAACCTTGATATGTTTGGTACGTTCGTGGAAAACTGGTTTCTCAGCGATGTTAATTGCTGATTGATTATCACAAAACACATTCACAGGTTGAGGTGACGAATGCCATAGAAACCAAGCAATGATTTGAGCCACTGCACTTCACAAGAAAGTTGAGCCAATGCTCCATATTTTGCCTTTGAAGATGAACGAGATACCGTGCTCTGTTTTTTTTTTTTTTTTTTTTTTTTTTTACTTTTTTCAAGTGATTGAAGAGTTTCCTAGGAAGGTGCAATATCCTATAACAAACTTCCTTGTAACGGGGCAAGCAACCCAGTCAGAATCACTTTAACCTGTAAATATCAAAGATGAGCCATAGGAAAACGAGGGACCTTGACTAGGAAAACTTTTTAGATACCTCAAGATTCCGTGGAGACCTTTTAGGTGTGCTGTTGTTGGACTATCTTGAAACTCGCTAAGTTGATGCACATGGAATGCTATATCTGGCCTTATATTAGTAGGGTACTGCATTCTGCAGTTGTCCTAGCAAATTCCTTAAGTTTGAATCATCATCCAGAGGTTCTCCATCAGAAGCTGAAACCGAGGCCTTCAAGCTCAATGGTGTTTTAGCTGGTTTGCTTTCCAGAAAGTCCGCATTAGCTAACAACTCAAGACATAACTTCCTTTGACTCAGAGAAATGCCTTGTGATGATCTAGCCACTTCTAAGCCAAGAAAATATTTCATATTCCCCAAATCCTTGACCTTAAAAACCCTTTTTCAACTCTTCCTTCACATGTGTTATATCAGGTAAGTTAGGTCCAGCAAGCAAAATATCATCAACATAGACAATAAGAATGACTGACTTCCATTTGAACACTGAATGATCCTCATGTGACTACTGGAAATCTAAATTGCCAAGGAACTCAGAAAGCTTGATGAACCATTGTCAACCAACTTTGTGATGATTTAGGGGTCGTTTGGAACCTTTGATTCTGGAATGATGTATTACGAGAATATGTGTATTAAATATTAGGGTAAATACAATTTATTAGCCAAACCTTTAATTTTAAACAAAATAATAGCCAAACCTTTTCAAAAACAATTTATTATCCAAACCGTTAACTTTTCATTCGGTCAATAGTTAGTTGACCTTGACGTGGCAAAATTCTTGATGAGGTGGAACATTTTTAATGACGTGGCAAGAAAGTCCAACTTTTAACATGCCACATAGATAAGTATTAAGTATTAATTAAATTATATTTATTTGTAAAAAAAATATACCAAACCAAACAATGATTATCTCGTCACTCCTCCTATCCCTCTTTCCTTCCTTCAACTTCATAACCAAAAAGCAATCCAGCCGCCGCTCACCCATCGTCACCCCTGCAAAGAATAGATTTAACTATTGTTGCTTCCCTCCAAACCCTTCATCTTCATAACCCAACGTATTAAAGAATCCAGCCCCCGCCCACCCTTCGTCACCCCTGCAAAGAAATAGATCTGATCCATGCCATTGCTACCCTCTCTGAGACCTTCGAAATGGCCGCTAAGTTCTGTTACAAAGCCAAAGTCGTCGTCTCTGCCTCCATCATAGCGCCGCCGCTCCAAATCCTCCACCGCCGATCCCGTCTTGTTTCGTTGGCCGAGTACATACCTGCCGCCGCCATAGCCCGTAAGTACTCCCCCAACCCTTTTGGTCGTCACCAACGGAGATAGAAGAGGGGGTTTTGGATTTGGAATCGGAGCGACAGATGCTAGATGGTTATGCCGGCCTCTCACTCGCTCTGTCTCTTATTTGGGATCCAGTCGAAGAAAGTTCCGCAGCGAGACATAGAAACGCGAGAAACGGATTAACGCGAGAGAAGAATTAGGTGGGTCAGATTTGGGGGTTTCTTTGCTTCTGAAAAGTTGGGTGAATCGGCGATTATTCTGTGGTGATGGAGGAATGGCGAAGAGAGGATGAGATGGAGTTCATGTAGGAGGCCACTTTTTCGCCGGGAAGAACAAGGGTTTCTTTCACTAGGGGAAGGATTCTTTTCATTTTTAATTTATCTTTTTCCAAAAAATTAAATATTAATGTAAATGTAATTAAAATTAATTATTACCTGCCACGTCAAAAGCTTGCTCTCTTGCCACGTGATTAAGAACTTTCCACCTCATCAATAATTTTGTCACGTCAAGGTTAACTAACTGTTGACCAGATGAAAAGTTAACGGTTTGGCTATTAAATTGTTTTTGAAAAGGTTTGGCTATTATTTTGTTTAAAATGAAAGGTTTGGCTAATAAATTGTATTTACACTAAATATTATGTGTATACTAAGAATGAGTGGTTTTGAAAACTCATTGTTTGGAACCCATACAAGAATGCATGGATTATAGTTTAAATGAACTATGGATACTAAAATCTAAAAAAAATGTAAGATTATGAATACATCATTTTCTATGTATTAGGAATACATGCATTCTGTTATTACATCAAGTCAAAAAATATTGTATTCTCAGGATACATGTATACTGAGAATACAACATGTGAAATCGGAGGTTCCAAACGAGCCCTTTAATACGAGGGTCGTTTGGATGTTGGGATTTCAAGTGAGGTGTTTAACCAATACATGTAATGGTAAGATTAAATTGTTTTTTATTTCAATTTGAGTTAGAATGCATGCATTACCTTTTTCCTGGGCCCACCTATAATCACTCAAAATTAATGATTGTCAATCTCTACAAAAAAGTGAGATTTTTAACAAGGGATTGTCTACTCCATTTTTTGCTCAATCCTTGTTCCTCCAAACAAAATATTTTCTTAAGACATGCTTGAATCAATACATAAAATGACATTACACAAATTAATTAAAAACATCTCTTTGGAGAATCTCAACCTCCAAACATGCCCGAAATGACTTGTGCCGCATGCAAACCATCTCATTTCACAGGCTTGGCTGCAGGGGTTTTGGGCTGCTTAAAGGCTTTATATAATTTCCTGGAATTCTTCCCATCTTCACATTTCGGCCTGCGCTCGATCTTCCTTTTAAGCCCAATGGATTGGATTTTGTTAATCTGAGCCCGGCCCATGGTCCTCAACTCTCGCAGTCATACTTTCTGCCAGTATGCCTTTCCGACGGTTTTCCATCTGTCTTCCACCCCCAGACCCACAGTTACCGCAGATCTCTCCCTCTCTCCTCCTCCTCTAGATCCCCGGCCATCACCGCCCGATCTCTGCCCTTCCTGATCCCGCTCCGCCGTCAAACAGAAATGGCCGCTCCGCCTCTCCCGGTCACGAACCCAACGTCACAGCCCGAATCTCAGCCTCCAATCGCCACGCCGGCCTTCCGCAACTTCATCTCCCGCCTCTCCTCTTCCGTCCGCCAGGGCTTCTCCCAGCGCCGCCCATGGACGGAACTCATCGACCGCTCCGCCTTCACTCGCCCTGAATCCCTCACGGAAGCCGCCGCCCGGATCCGCAAGAATCTGTCCTACTTCAAGGTCAATTACATTTCAATGCTCGTCGTCGTCCTCGGCTTCTCCCTCCTGTCCCATCCTTTCTCCCTCCTGGTGCTCCTCTCCCTCCTCGCCTCCTGGATCTTCCTCTACCTCTTCCGTCCTTCCGATCAGCCCGTGGTGATTCTCGGCCGGACTTTCTCGGAGCGGGAGACGCTCGGCGTGTTGCTCTTGTCGACCATCGTCGTGGTGTTCTTGACCAGCGTCGGCTCGCTCTTGATCTCGGCGCTGATGGCTGGAGTTGCGATTGTCTGCGTGCACGGCGCGTTCAGGGTTCCAGAAGATCTGTTCCTTGACGAGCCGCAAGAGCAGGCGAACGTTGGACTCCTTTCCTTCCTCGGCGGCGCCGCCTCCTCCGCAGCTGCCGCCGCCGCTCCCGTTGTCGCCGCTCGTGTGTGAGAAGTGAGAACTGAACTCCCCCGCTCCTATCTTTTCTTTTTTTGTTTTTGTTAATTGAAATCGCATATAGCTTTTGACTGAGTAAGACATACATTATCTTGAAACCTGTTGTCGTTGAGACTGCAATTTGTTGATTAGATTTCTTGTAGTAGATCTTATCTGATCTTGGCACGGCAGTACTAAATCCATTCCATTCGTTTTCATTATACTTTTAATCGTTGCTTATGTGGTGGTAATTCGTAACTCTGCAATACAGCTGATCGTTTGCTCGATTCCTGGCCATGAATCCTGTTTTGTTCCTCCCTTTCATGTATGCTGCCGAACCTAATGATAGTGCATTGAATTCTTCCATGTGGATCCACGTAGTTATGCATTGTTGATTGATGAACACATCAGTCTAGTACCGAGCTAGGATGCTTGATAGTTCTTTGTTTAGCTACACAGAGATGTGCACGACATTTTCTATTTGGATTGGGTCTTAGATACTCACAATGGAATGAGTTAGTGACCGTGTCTGTTGAATGTAAGAATGGTTTCTGGAAACTTAGGATGCTATCTACATGCTTTAGGACAGACTCGTTTGATACGATGATTTGGGGTTTAGTTAGCCTTCAATTTATACCAGGAGCTGCTCGTGGCTTTTTTTTGTGTCGAGTACTGTGATTGACATGATCGTTCTGTGGTGTAGTCGAGGGATGTGTGTAACTTGGGTGGAAATGGAACCACTGTAGATCAAAAGCTCTGGTTGAAGCTATGTTTCAGTTGGGACATAGCCTCGGTGGTACTTAGCAATTCTACCTAAATGGGTTCTGAACCGCCCGAACAAGGATTAGATGGCTGATCTGCTTGGGATGCTATGAAAATTAAGTGGATGTGATGCGTTTTTGCTTTCCCGAGTGCATCATAGTTGTTCGATTCTTGATCATATGGCTGAGAATGTCTAAGCTTGTATGCCATTATGCTTACCTTTACATCATGGAGCAGGAGAGTCAAATTTTGGTAGGAGAGAGCAAATCCATTTGTAGGTTCGGGCCATTTGTGGTTTGTATATAGTAGATGCTTCGAGTAGATTGATTGCAGTTGGTATCTATGGTAGGAGGTTGTGCTGGTTATAGCATCTTCAATTCTGCACGGAGTTGAAATGGGCGACTATGGCTGCTTGTGTATTTGTGGCGGGGAATGTTTCAGCTGCATTGTAGTTGATGCAGCTGTGGTATTTCAGCTTAGTTGGTAAAGTAAGAATGATACTCCCGCCATGGAACTAGGGGGTGGCAAAAGTGTCGTTGCGCCGTGGTATTGGCACTTTGGCAGGAAGAAAGGAAAGGGGAACTGGGATCTGTGAAGCAGTTGTTTTATTGACTGGACGCACACATTTATGGTCCTGCTGCAATTATCTGTCGCATTTGTAGCTGCCATTTTCGGCACAAATACCAGCCTTCATTCCCAATCAGTTATTTATGAAATGTGAGGTGCTATATGCAGACGTGACTTCTAAATGTCAAGCTATTCGACGACGATGATGTTCTCCCTTAATAGTAACTACATCATAGTTAGACCAGCAAATAATTGAGCGATTCGAAATAGAACGAGTATGAATGTCCGGTGACAGGCAACAGATCGTTACGCACTAGTAAGTAACATCCACCTGAATCGAGTTGAGAAAAATTTATAAAACGCAATTTACCAAAATTTTCATCCTCATAATGGTGCAAATATGCATTTCATAGTATCCGTTTCGATCCATTCCGCGCAATCATAGAGCCCAACTAGCCACTGGTTCCGAGCCCAACCTTCCCACGAGCCGGCAATAATATTTTCCAGCTCCACCCAACCGCCGCCTGGCAAGCTGCTCGACGGACAATTCCATAAATCCCATCACGCGCTGCTTACTGGGCACTGGCTAGGCTACTGCTTAATTGCCTCCTAAACATTTTCCACTCATCTCCAGGTAGGGGTGGGCATTCGGTCGGTTCGGTTAGGCTACTGCTTAATTGCCTCCTAAACATTTTCCACTCATCTCCAGGTAGGGGTGGGCATTCGGTCGGTTCGGTTTTGACCGAACCGAAATTATGAATACCGAGTCCCGAATTCTCCCAAACCTCAAACCGAATTCGAACCGAATTATAATTCGGTTCGGTCAGTTTAAACCGAATTATAATTCGGTTCGGTTTTCACACAAAACCGAATTTGTGAAGTTACTTGTAAGTATATGCATCATCAATGATAAAATCAAACTTTTCAACACATAAGTCATAAAACATTTCAAATATTTAAGTCTTAAAGCAACTACAAACATAAAAATCCACCATTTGGAGCTTGCAATTATAGTATTTCGGTTTTTCGGTCGGAAATTCGGTTCGGTTGAGAGAACCCTGATTTCAGAACTATCCATATTTTCCTTCCGAATTCCGAACCGAATAGCATTAATTCGATGTCGATTCGGTTTAATTCAAGTTCGGTTTGGTTCGGGTTTACCGAACCGGTTGCCCACCCTGGTCCAGTTGGCTACTGCTTAAACTGATTAAGTATTAGTTAACCGCATTTTTGTAGCTAATTAAAACCTTAATCTCGCTCTATTTTTGGTTTTGGTGGAGAAAATGAGGAGCGAGGAGAAAGAAGGCGGACATTACAAAGATAGTCCGTCGCTCATTCACATAGTTCTGCTAGCCAACTAATTCCCTTCTCCCCCACGCTATAAACTCCGTCCATTCTCCCCCATTTTGAAAGCTCCAATTCAAATCCTCTCCCATGGAGTCCTCTGTCTTTCTCCGCTCTTTCCACGGTAACTCTGTCCCTCTCCTTCTCTCCCTATCAAGCTTTCCGTCACTTTTGTTCTCGCATTTCGTCCTTTTCTTTTGGTGTGCTTATGTTGCTCTAGTTAGCCTGGTTCGAAATTCCAATGCCAGTTCCCGGAGAGATCTGTTGCGTACTTGCGTGTAGACTGTTCTTTGAGCTTAATGTTTGATTGCGCTACGCTTCTTCCTTTCAGGTTCGGTGCCTACGGTTTCAAACGCCCAGCCAGCAGCCGAAAGGAGCGGTGCGATTTCTTCTATCCAGAGTGTTGGCTTCAGCAGGAGGCTTGTTTGCTCGCCGGCTAAGAGGAATCTTTCGATAGTATCTTGCGCCAAGACATCTGGTTCCTCTGTAGCTTCCAAGTCTACAGGTGCGTATTTTCCATTTTCTCTCGAGATTGAATTGGTTTTCCCCCTTGATGTGTACCAGTAAGGTAGCTGGGATTGGTTATCTGATCCATAGAAGCTATCCAATCTGTTTGGACTTAATTTCGAGTCGTTGCCATTACTCAATCTTGTGATTGTACTTCGGTTTGGTGACATAGAAGCTATGCTTGTGCTAGTACTAGTAGTGTATGGGAATGCCGAATGTGACCATTACTGCGATGCCATTTGAGGAGTTTGAATCCATTTTCCGAACCAATGGAGCTGTGGGTGGAAATTTGTATAACTTAATTTGTGTTTGGCGCTGTGAATTGCGGTTTTGTTCTGGCTGCCGGTGCTGATTATGAGCTTACTTCCAGCAGATGGTGCTATACCAGTTGCTTCAGAGAGTAATGGTGCGCCCCGTGCAACTTTCCCCAGTGGCTTTGAAGTGAGTGTTCTCTTTTCTCAGTGCTTTAACTAGTTTTGTTTTCCCAACCCACACTTGATTGTGAATCACTTCATTGTGCTCCTGTGATGTTTTGTTGCTAAGATTACATGTTGCTTCGAGTGATAGTAGTCAAAACCCGCCCTTGTATTTGAGAGAACTTTGATATTGCATCAACCATGCTTGGTAGTACTTAAGAATAGGTTAGATTAGAATACATTGAAGCTGCTACTGGGAGGATCTTTAAGTGCCATATTTAGCGAGAAGTTTTTTTTTTTTTTAAATAATGTTAGCGAGAAGTTACCATAACATTCGTGACATCTGCCTGTTATGAACCTTAATGATTGGTCTTGCTTCTTGTTCTTTTCATCATCAGGCTCTGATGCTAGAGGTTTGTGATGAAACAGAAGTTGCAGAGCTCAAACTGAAGGTAAACTCATCATCTTGACATGATCATAGAACTACATATGTTAATCTTTCGCTCCCATGTACTCATCTACCTGTTTCTGATAGGTGGGCGATTTTGAAATGCATCTGAAGCGTAACATAGGAGTTACACATGCCCCATTGTCCAACATTTCACCAACAGTGCCACCACCTATTCCATCTAAACCGATGGACGTAGCAGCTCCTGCTGCTCTACCAGCACCAACTCCGCCACCAAAAAAGTCCAATCCGTTCACAAATGTCTCCTTCGGAAAGTCGCCAAGGTTGGCAGCTCTGGAGGCTTCTGGTGCTAGCGGCTTCGTGTTAGTCGCTTCTCCAACAGTACGTGACTGTGCCGGAGTTGCCTGCTGAGGGTTCTCTATCTTTCATTTCCTTCTTCCTAACACTGAAAAAGCATTCAATTGAGTGTACATCCATCCTTTACCTTTTCAGGTTGGTACATTCAGGAAGAACCGTACTGTGAAAGGAAAGAAGCAACCTCAGATCTGCAAAGAGGTATCTGGACCTTGAGGATGTTTTGTCCCTGGAATCGCATACTTGTTGTGAACTGACATGTACATTATTCCAATGCAGGGCGATATGATCAAAGAAGGACAGGTGATTGGATATTTGGATCAGTTTGGCACTGAACTCCCTGTGAAGGTGAGTTTTCTGTGCTTGTGTAGTTGTTTTTGCTATCTCTGAATTGAATCCAATTTTTCCTAATTGTGGTGCTTCTTGATGACTGAGCAGACAGATGTGGCTGGGGAAGTTATAAAGATCCTCTTTGATGATGGAGGTAAAAATTTCTGCTTCCCTCCATTTCTGAGAACTGTCAACTTGATCCCTGCTAATGATCAGTTCCTTTGCATTCATATGCCGTGCTTACAAAATTAAATTTGTACATTAAAGACAGTTAAATTCCCTTACATCACACGATCATACTTGTCTTCTCTTTCTCAATCTTCCGGGGTACATTTTCAAGATGGGTAGCTTATGTTTTGTCAAGGAAGACAAAAGTCTTTCCATAGCTGGTTTATAATCAACTCGTTCCTAGATGAGGTCTTAGTCTTTTGTTAGCAACCTAGGGACATCGAGTTTCCAGGCTGGGACTTCCAGAAAAGTAACTACCAGTAGATCCCTCAGCAAAATTTCATTGCATAGCTTCTTAGTATTTGAATCTTTGGCTAGGATGCAATTTCTCTCTTTTTGTTGTTTTTCCTAACATCTCTTATTGCACATGATGCAGATTCTGTTGGATACAAGGACCCTCTTATCGCTGTGTTGCCATCATTTCCCGGCATCCAGAAGTAAAACAACCATCCTGCAAGGCTTCAGTAACATCCAGGTTCTATTCTTGGCAGCCTCGAGGATTGACGCTCCTTATGCTTTTCTTTTTGCCGCGGCGGTGCTTTGCCCTTGCAATCTTATGGCTCAGAGAATGGCAGTGTCTTTCTGTTGCTTTGTTTGATTTGTGAAGTAGATCTAGGTAATGAGCAATAAACGATGAAAAAGCAGGCATTTTAGTTTCCAGAACTCACCATATTTTGTACTTCCTTTGTATTTGAGTATGTTTGTTGCTCGAGGATGCACAACTGTATTCTTTTACCCGAGCAAACAATTCAAACGTTCTTGTGAACAGACCTTATCATTAGTCATTGCTGACAATAATATTACTCACAGACTGTATTTCTATATCCAATTCCTGCTGTTTTCTACATGAAAGAGTATTGAGGACACACTGAATTACAGATTATCGGGAGCGAAAACCCGGCCTAAGCTATGGTGAGCTGGACTGTTTCCCTGAACTCCAGCCTCCTGGTCTCACTGTAAAAAGTCCTGTACTTGTTAGGCCAATAAGTGAGCCAAATCCACCCCTTGATCTCAAACTCCATCGTCTTCCCCTTAGCAGCTTTATCCACCTTCCAAGTTATGCTCTTCCCATATTCACTTCCAGCAAACACCACTCCACCTTGCCTTGTAAACGGCCGATAAGCCGTCCTGTACCGGTCCTTGAACCATGCTCTAGGGTTGATCAGCGCCAAGGCCGAAGGCTTGGACGAAACCACCTCTCTCCCGTCCATGTTATCGTGCAGAAACCAGCTGAACACCGCACTGTAAGCGTACACCGAGCCTTCGAACTTCCATGGCTTCAAGCTCATCGACACGGTCTCTCCGGCCGAGAGCTTCAGCCCCAAGCTGTTTGGCGGGTCGAAGGAAGTCTCTATCCCCTTCTCCAGCTCGATTTCTCTGGTCGGGTTGGCTGATGAGCTGCTTACTGACACGCTTATTATGTTCGTCTGCAGGATTGGCGTGATGTGGACTGCGATTCGAGATGGGAAATGCTTCTCTTCTGACCCAACTCCTCGTTCTCCCATCAAGGTTTCGTTGACTAGCCGGTAAATGTCGCACCTAACAGTAATCAGAGCAGAAGATCTGAATACAAACTTGTTCTACATCCAACATCAAGTGAAAATTATTTATTCAACTACTTGCCTTATGTTGTCTGTGTACACAGTCACGTCGACCCACTTCTCTTGCTCGACGACCTCATAATTGAACTGCATGACTCCTTCAAGCTGCTGATACTTCAGGGAGAAGAGGAGTTTCTCATCAGCTGAGGACCCACTGGAGCTCTCCATGTCCATGGCTATAACAGGGCAGTACAGCTGAACTTTCCACAGCCCCAAGGCCGAGAACGAGCAAGAGAACAACGGGGAAGGCGTCCTGAAACTCCTGTGAGCAGCAGCCTGAAGCTCGACGATCCAGTTTGTGATGGCCAGATTAATGGACCTCATCCACTGCTCTTCGAGGTTCGACCCCATCATCCTCATGAGCGATCTCGAGGCTTTTCTCATCTGAGGATCAATGAGCTGGTTCTTCAGGGTGGCCAGGGACTGGGACCTGATCTCGGGAGGTGCCTCGTAGATGCATACCAGGAGGGTTAGTGTGAGAAATGAGAGGTTGAATATGGCCTTAAAGTTTGGGAGACTGTCGAGCTTCGGTATTTTGACAGAGGAGGACCTGCTGCTGCACTTGTAAGGGCCGTAACTGAGGATGTCCTCGATGAAGTTCGTTAAGAGGAAGGAGATCGATTCGCTTCCTAGCAACCTGAGGGGGTCATTGGAGTTTGTGTTGATGGGTTTTGAGGACCAGAGAGATATGGTCAAGGTGAGATCAGTGGATATGGAGAAGAAGACTGTTGTTGGAGAGTGATGGTTCTTCCAGACGGAAAGCTTCAGGGAAGGACTAGAAGTAGTGGAGGTAGAAGAAGAAGAAGAAAGTATGGTGATAGACATTGGATTTTGTTTCCATTGAGAAATTGGAGGAAGTGTCTGAATCCAAGCTAATACATCAGGATAGCTTGAAGAAGCCATTACTGCAATCTGCAGCTCAAAGGTATTAACTTCTTTATGCCTCTCCTTTCTTTTACTTGTTTCCAATGGGATGATCTTCCTGATTTCCAAAGGGGTTGATATAGTGAAGCTGGGGAATAAGAATCCTGTAAAAGGGAAGGAAGAAAGAAATGTCAAAAGGTGTGGAGTAGTCCAGTGGAGATTGGCTGGAATATTTCTGCTTTTCTGTTAAAATGACGAGGATTTGGTGATTTGATAGATGGCAAAAGTGTGCAAGAAATGATGTGTTCATGATCCTCTGTATCTCTGTAACAATGGAGAGTCTGAGTTCCGGTAAATTTGCATTTTATCTCTGCAGAGTCTCTGGGATTCGCTCCGTACGTGTACTGAATTGAAACTTTCAAATTCGCGGCATCTATACGTGGATCTACATTGACTATACAACGTCACTTCGTATTGCATGTTGATTCACGTCAAAGATTAAGGGGGAATGAAACTTGAGAGTTTTAAGTTTTTGTTTTGGATCACTTTGAACGCAAAAGAAGTAAGACGAATTCAATTCCGCGTAAGATGGTTGATGGTGAATTATCCTCATGGAGTTTGCTTGCTCACATCATACTTTCCCGATATGACAATCCATGCAGGAGCTTTCCTTCTTGCTGTGTTGAAGAAACATGGTCACACACTAGAAACAGTAACCTGAAACAGCTAAGTGTAGGCTCCAAACCAAGGAAATGGGGCGTGACAGCCCATAAACGTGTTGGGTATGTATTGTTTCCCTAAATGAGAGAAACCGACGATGGAAGAAAAGGTAGTGAGCAAAGCTTTCGTTCCAACTTTGCACCAATTAATCCACACACCCAATTTTGGGTCATTCTGTTTGCTTCTTTCACGATTGGAAATGCCCTCCAATTGATGCACTTTATGGAGGGCAGGGTTGTCCAGCTTCATGAGCACTCCAATTATTGGCATTCTTTTCACGTGTGAATTTTTGTTTTTTTTAAGTCGTGGAATGTTTTTCTGTATATACAACAGTTGATTAAAAATGGGATACAATTCGTTTTTAATTTTTTTTATTATAAAATTGTGATGTATGTATCCGAGAAAATATTAGAAAGTGATAAACAAAAACTGTTGTTATTTTACTCTCCTCTCTCTAAATTGTAAATTCCTAAATACTATGATTCTTTTAAAGCGCACTATATTTTTTCAATGCATTTCTACAATGCTTGACGACCGTTTCATGGAATTATAATGAGTACATATCTACGTAACACGTATATAGGTATTTACAGATAATAACAACAACAGTAACTGTATTTGTACAAGCATAAACCGTTGCTCGCTCGTTGATGGAGACGTACTAGAAAAGGCAAGGTGAGGAGAGGATGGGATTGGATGAGTGGGAATTTGCAACTTGGAGAAAGAAAGCAACAACGTGAAGGAAATGCATGCTTTGATTATTCCTCAGTTAGGCAGAGGAATAACAGAACAAGAAAACGAGAGCACCAGTAAATTACTAAAACAGTAAACAATGCTTCTCTAATTGGACTCCGGCCGCCGTTGATTGATGATGATGGGCCAAGCTAAAGCCCATGCCCAAACTGATGGTGGTCAAACTTACTTGATACTTCACAGCAAAGCCCAAACCCGCAAAACATTACCCACTCCCACTCCTGTATTGGGCCAGCGGAAGTTCTTAAACCACTCACAATAGCTAGCAACCACCTAATCCATTTGTGGAATGGAATAAGAGAGTATGCCGTACAACTCAAGCGATAGCTATTTTGCAAGTATGAATGTGGAGTAGTTTGGAGAACATGATTCAGCACATGGAGTCACCGAATTTGTAGATTTTGTAGAAAGTTATGTTTTTTTGTTGCTTTTTGTATTGTGGATTCTAGCTTTAGAGATTTCAAATTTCTAAAATGCGGATATCAAATCTCTCATAATCAGAGAGATTCTATAACTTGATTCGTGGGCTTTTTTCTCTCATAATTTTTCTTATCCTTTTATTTATTTATCACATGAAATATATTTATCAACAAAGTTTTTTATATTTCTCGAACCACTATAATTTTTTATTAAGGATAAGCATGTTATTTAATAAAAAATTAAATTTTTTATTTTACTTGAATGTTAACAATCACAGTTACCAAACAATTAAAATTTTAAAATCTGTTTTCAATAATCTGAAGAGTTAGAATCGTTAGATTGTTGACAATCTATAGATTTAAACTCATATTCTCCAAACGATCCCGTGGTTCAGTCAATAAGGTATTGTTGTTGTGATTGTTATATCATTGTTGACATAAAATTAGATGGATTAATATTTTTAACTGGAGTTACATTGACATAATACGATAGCCAATTTGATCCCACTACAACGATTGGCATGAAATGTTCATATTATTCATATTAGATTTTACTGTTACGAGTGTAGGTAATTTTTACGGTCCAGGCCAGCCAACATTATGCTGCTCGCGTAAATCGTAAATGTTATTGATACACAGAGAAACAAAGAAAAAGAAACGTCGACATATTAAGAAAAAAATCAACCTTGCCACGACAGTTCCTAGTCACAAGTTTTATGGATTGGTACGTGCAGGCCCCACTAGCCCACTCGCCGGCCCATATTCGCTTATTTTTTCCAGCTAAACTTGGCATATTCACTACTCAAGGCCATTATTAAACAGCCAAAAAAAAAAAAGAATTATTTTATTTCAATGGCCACGAATTAATTTCGTATCCGGTTTCACTCCAACGCCCCGCCGTTTTGTCCTTTCTTCCGCTTCCCCCCTCTCTCTCTCTATTCTAGCGTGAACGTTCACTTCCCCGAGAGAGAAAAAAAAAAAATGAAGCAGCAAATCCACCAGCACCACTTGTTCACCTCCTCCGCGCCACAACCGCCGGCCCAGCACCTCCGCCATCAACTCCCCGCCGGAGCCTCTCGCCGCCATCGCCGAGTGACGCTCTCCGTCCGTTCTGTTCGAGCATCTACAAGTAACTCCGAAGAATGCGGCCAGAGTCAAACCAGCAGTACTGGCGCCGCCGGGACGAAGAGAAGACAAGTTCTGATCGCTCCGCTACTGACTCTCGGGTTCTCCGTCCTCCACTCCGCCGTCTCGAGGGCGGATGAAGCTGTTCTACAATCGCCGCCGGCTACTCCTCCTCCTCTTCCATCTCTGTCTCCGCCTCCGCCACCGCAGGTCCAACTGCCAACGGCCGTGGAGACAGCGAAGAAGGTGGAGGTCGAGGCGATTCCGATAAACTCGAGAATTTACGACGCGACGGTGATTGGAGAGCCTCTGGCTATGGGGAAGGAGAAGAGCGCCAAGGCATTGGATAAACTGACGAGTGCGAGGGTAGTGTACTTAGGTGAGGCGGAGCAAGTTCCGACGCGGGACGACAAGACGTTGGAGCTCGAAATCGTGAAGAGCTTGAGGAGTCGATGCGTAGAGAGCCAGAGGTCAATTTCGTTAGCAATGGAGGCGTTCCCTTGCGAATTGCAGCCTAAGATCGATGAATTCCTTGACAAGAGGTACACTCAGTTCTCAATTTCCTCCGGGATTAAAGATCGGTTCAAATAGTGGTAGTATGTACTTTGCTTCAGTTTGGAAAATGAGCTGAAAAGGCTAGCTGTTTCGGATTCATTAGCTCCAGCCATTATTGATTGAATGAAATGCATCTATGGAAATGCTTATTAAGCTTGTTCTTGGTGTGCATTTCCGGTCCCAGGATAGATGGAGAAGCTTTCAAGTCTATCCTATCAAATTGGCCACCTGAGCGATGGCAGGAATACGAGCCTCTTTTGAGCTATTGCCGCGAGAATGGGGTTAAGATTGTTGCTTGTGGTGTCCCACCTAAGGTAATGTTTCCTTCTGGTGTATACTTGTTCTTGGCTGCGTAAGGCGTTATTAGTTTCATTCATTGCCTCTTCTGCTACATATGTTAACGGTATGACATTGTGATGTGAACAGATCCTGAGAACCGTCCAAGCTGAAGGCCTCCATGGGCTTTCAAAGGCGGACCGCAAGCTGTATACACCACCAGCAGGATCTGGGTTCATCTCGGGTTTCACCTACATCTCCCGCAGGCTAAATGATTTGAGTTCTGCTGAAAACCTTTCGATTCTTCCCATCGGCCCCAGCTCGTACTTATCTGCACAAGCAAGAGTTGTCGAGGACTACACCATGTCCCGAATAATCTTGCAAGCAGTTAATGATGGCGGGGCTTCTGGACTTCTGGTGGTGGTGACAGGTGCAAGCCATGTTACTTATGGGTCAAGGGGAACCGGAGTGCCTGCTAGAATATCGAAGAAGTTGCAGAAAAGGAATCAAGTTGTCATACTGCTGAATCCCGAGAGGCAGTTCATCCGAAGAGAAGGTGAAGTTCCTGTTGCTGACTTCTTGTGGTATTCTGCTGCAAGACCGTGCACCAGGAATTGCTTTGATCGTGCTGAAATTGCTCGAGTTATGAATGCTGCTGGTAGAAGGAGAGATGCACTACCACAGGTAATAAGAAATGAAATCAATCATATCTGAATCTTGTAGGACCTGCTGTAGTTCATCCAGGTTCTCACTGTTCGTCCTGGTGTTAACAGGATCTTCAAAATGGTCTTGATCTTGGTTTAGTATCACCAGAGGTGCTGCAGAACTTCTTTGATCTGGAACAATATCCTCTTATCAAGGAACTCACTCATCGTTTCCAGGTATGGAAAGTTTCTTAGCTGAAGTTACAACTTAAAATTGCTGGAAATTAGATGATTTACCAAGTAAGCTCTTTCTGGTGCAGGGTTTCAGAGAGAGGTTATTGGCAGATCCAAAATTCCTGCATAGGTTAGCCATAGAAGAAGGTATATCGATCACCACTACCCTAATAGCACAGTATGAGAAACGCAAGGAGAATTTCTTCGAAGAGCTCGACTATGTGATTACAGACACCGTCAGGGGATCTGTTGTTGACTTCTTCACCGTGTGGCTTCCTGCACCAACACTTTCTTTCCTTTCATACCCCGAAGATTTGAATCCCTCTGAAAATAGTGTGGAGGCTTTAAAAGGCCTGCTGGGTTCCATCCCAGATAATGCATTTCAAAAGAATCTTGCGGGGAAAGACTGGAATCTGAGTCACAGAGTTGCATCTGTGCTTGTTGGTGGTCTTAAGCTTTCTGGTGTAGGATTTGTTTCCAGCATTGCAGCTGTGGCTTCTTCAAATGCTTTATATTCAGTTCGCAAGCTCTTTAATCCAGAGTTGGTGACTGTTCAAGGAGTTAGAAGATCTCCAATACTCAAAACCGCAGTTGTTTATGCAAGCTTTCTGGGCATATCAGCAAACCTGAGATATCAGGTATATAATGCTGCAACATCATTCACCCTATGTGCTCATAATAGAGGTTGCTGATTTTCACAAATTTTGCTGCAGATCATTGCCGGATTAGTTGAGCATAGGATTTCTGATGAATTCGCTTCACAGACAATACTTGTAGCTATGTTGTCTTTTGTTGTTCGGACTATCAACTCCTACTGGGGAACCCAGGTCAGGATTCTTTGACGTCTGACACTGTCATGTCTTTTTGTTTTGACGTCTGAGTAGATGTTTAGGATGATGAAACATTAACTTTGCCTTTTTTGCTTGAATGCTGCAGCAATGGATCGACCTTGCACGCTTTTCAGGGCTACAAAAAAGAAATGATGAACCAGCAGCTTCTTATCAGACAGTGGATCTTCCTATAAATCCTGTTGTGGGATGCGAAACTACCGACGAAGCGAGTACCGAAGAAATCAAGAACTAATGAGGAGAGAAATGCTTCACTGGAGCATTGTAAAGTATACATCCCAACTCATAATCTTTGCTGAAAGATAACAACCACAGTTTTGATACCTCTCTTTCTGTTCTTCCTTCTCTCTCGAATACATGTATCATCAAATTTTGGCGCAAATGTGGATAATTAATGTACACCTAGAAGACTAGAACAGGTTATTTTGAACTTCTTCTAGTCCAGCGGAGTGTACAGCATCTATTGTTATCTTCACGTTGAGCCGCTGTAGAGGGCCACGTTTGTGCTTGTATCAATGTCAACTTCAGACAACCGAAACCGAACCTGTGAAGTGCGATAAGCTCTTAACGGTTTCAGTTTTGACAATTGGCTAATTTGGGTTTCGGTTTCTAATGGTTTTCATTTGGTTAACCGAACCAACATCACTGGGTGTACATAGACATTATTTTTGTATAGGAACTTGCTCTACTATCAATTGTGACAAATACAAGGAAATGAGTGGTTAAATATGGAAACACAAGTCGTTCGTACTTGATTGTCACAAGTCACAACATAACTCTTAAGAAACGGAAAGTTACAAATCTCGTATCTACTACGAGAAACAGAACAACCAAATTCACACAATGGAAAGAAAAAACTACATACAACCAATTCTTTTCTGTCTCAAAAACAATCTTTCTCCCAACTCTGCATATCCAGGAAGAAGAACGTCTGCTTCCAATGCAAACCTCGTAGCCTTTTCTTCTCATCATCATCTCCCTCCTTTACGGTGGCCGGATTGCCACAGCCGGCCGGTGATCGAGTCATAGCTATAACGAGATCGAAATGGAGACAACGTCGATAAACGAAGTGCCAATCAATACAACGACAGGGCTACCATTCAAGAACATCGTCAACCTCACCGGAGCTTGCTACGAGCATGTCACGGTTTACACCCCTGGAATATGGAACAGTGAATATGGAGAATCCATTCTTGAACATGCTTTCTATCGTTTCAGCGTTCAATTGCTTCTCATGTTCTTCCTCTCCCATTCCATGCACTTCTTCCTCAAATACTTGCACATGCCCCGAATCACCTCCGAAATCATGGTAATGTGTAATTGTTCATATGAAAACATTATGTCTATATGCTTAAATTTCTGTAACCCTAACCCTTATTAGCATCTCGTAAAATTTACCGAAACCCTAGCTACTCCGTCCACGGTAAGAACATTCATGCATTATTCGCACCAATTTATCGTCGCGTACATATTCATCTCAATAACAATAAATCTTATACTAATTCGTTTTACACGAATTCGTGTTGGGTGCGTGCAGACAGGCATACTTCTCGGACCATCTGGGTTCGAGAAGTGGTTCCCAAACGAGGCCAAGCTGGTCTTCCCAGCCTCCCCCAACCAAATCATGGCAGCACTCTCCAAAATCGGCTACGTCTTCTTCGCATTCCTTGCGGGAGTAAAAATGGACCCATCTTTGGTCCAACAATCCGGCAAGAAATCCGTCTTTATGGGGATCCTAATCTTCATCTTCCCCTTCACAATGGTTCACACCATCACCATGAGCTTCCGGCCCGAGTTCCGGCCCTCGAACCAGCTCTCGATCGGGATCTACAAAGGCGTTGGGATCGTGCTCGGCGCCATCACCACGAGCCAGTTCGTGGGCGTGAGCCACCTCCTAAACCAGCTGCGGATCACCAACTCGCAGCTGGGCCACTTGGCGCTGGCCAGCACGCTGGTCAGCGAGCTGCTCCGGTTCGCCTACTCAAGCATGCTGGGCTACATGGAGGCCATGCTCTTCATAGCCCGGCGGGCCGGGGTCCAGGCCATAATTTTCTCCATGATGCTGGTGGCCTTCATAGTCGTGGTCCTGAGGGGCCTGGTTTTGTGGTCCATTAGGAACACACCGCAGGACCGGCCCATGAAGGAGATCTACATAACGTTTGTGGTGGGCATGATTCTGACGTTGGCTTCGGTTGGGGATACGGTGGGCATGTACTATCTGTTTGGGCCTTTCTTATTGGGCCTGGTGATTCCGGCTGGGTCACCGCTGGCGACGAGCCTGATAGCGAAAGTTGAGACGCCGGCGGCGGGGATCTTTGCGCCGATCATGGTCATGTTCTGCTCCACGTCGCTGGATTTGGTGAAATTCTTGAGGAACTATGCCAAGGTGCTGCCGTTTAGGATATCGTTGATTGGGTATTTCTTGAAGCTGGGTTTCACGTTCGTTGTGGCGCTTGGGTTTGAGCTGCCGGTTAGGGATGCTGCGGCTTATACACTCATCGTCAATGCTAAGGGTATCCTTGAAATTGGCGTGCTTCTCAGCTTTGGCAACCTTGGGGTATGTATTTATAGTTTTCTCCTCTTTAATATTCTCTTTTCCTTTCTAGTTATGAATTAATGAATGGTTGAGTTATAATATAAGCGAAGAAAATGCGTGATTAATTTGATTGGATTTTTGAAAATGTTGATTTATGTCTGGTATCGTCTTTTAATGTTTAGTTTTAAGTACTCTATAAGAAAATGTTTAGTTTGAAGTATAATATGTCTATGTCTATTTCGAACATAGTGTGAGAATACATCTTCTATAATCTAGTTTCAATTCTAAGAAGCTAATATAATATTTTGTATTTCTAACTTTTTTCTCGTTTAAGTTGAAGACTTCATCATTAAATTCAATAGATATAAAATATTTTGCAGTATTATGGTTGATAAGTTCATGTGACAATCCGTTCTTATGTTTTCATCCATTAGATCAATATAATAGGCATTATACATGTGCAAAAATGTCATCATATTGATCTACCTATCCGACGAAGAATCGAACAATGTCAATATATATGAATTTTCATCCCCTCCGATCCCCTTTCGACATTCTACCGAAATTCATCTTTTGTTGGTTAAAATTATTATTGTTTTTCCTCCTTGGTGAGTCAGCTTTCAATACATATGATTAGGCATATGCATGGGCAAACATATGTAATTTGACCGTTCCTCCTCATATTTTCATTCATTAGATCAACATATAGGCACGGTTACGTATGTGCAAAAAAATATAATCACATTAGATCTAACTATCCAACGAACATTCGAAAAACAATTTCAATATATACGATTTCATAATCCGTAATCCCACATTTCCTTTTCAGCAACAATTTCTCATGCAAAATCAAGCACATACATCACATGATCAATTAACATGTTCTTTTTTTTTTTTTTGGTTTTTGTTACATGATGATCCTTCTTCCTTCATCAGAGCAGGCAACTGGAGAGTACCTCCGCCATTTTCCTGATATTCATCCTCGCAAGCATCGCCCCACCAATAATCAGGCTCCTCTACGACCCTTCCAAGCAGTACATTGGTTACAAGAGAAAGTGCCTCCAATACGCACCGGATAACGCTCCGCTCCACATCCTAGCCTGCGCCCACAGGCAAGACGACGCCGTAGCGGTCATCAAATTCCTCGAGTTCTCCAACCCAACAAGACAAAGCCCACTCACCGTCTACGGGCTCTGCCTGGAGGAGCTCATCAGCAGCTTCACCCCGCTCCTCGTCAACCACCAGCTGGGCCAGAAAAAGTCCACAACAAAAGCCCGGCCCAGATCCCACAACATCCTCGACGTCTTCAACTACTTCGAGTCCCAGTTCGGGAGCAACAAGCTGGCCACGGTCCACACATTCACCGCCATCTCCTACTTGAAGCAGATGCACGAGGACATCTGCTCCCTCGCCTTCCACAAGGCCGCTTCCCTAATCGTGCTCCCGTTCCACAACAAGTGGAACGGGAGGGGCCACATGGTCTGCGGCAGCGAGGACCTGAGGCACCTCAACCTCAACGTTCTGGATAGAGCCCCCTGCTCCGTGGCCATCCTGGTGGACCGCAGGATGGCCATGGGGCTCTCGTCCATGTTCGTGACGTCCGCGGTGTACCGCGTCACGGTCCTGTTCGTCGGTGGGTCCGACGACAGGGAGGCCCTGGCCCTGGCCATGAGGATGGCCGGGAGCCCCAGGGTGCACCTGACCGTGGTGCAGTTCATTGTGGACGTCCAGGACGAGACGGTCGTGGATCGGTGGGAGGCGATGCTCGATGCCGAGGCTCTGAGGGTTGTGAAGCTCGAGATGCCGACGAATTCGAACGTAAAGTTGGTGGAGGAGCGCGTTAGGGACGGTTCCGACACCTCGGGTATCGTGAGGGAGATGGGAGATAACGTTGACCTAGTGGTAGTGGGGAGACGACACGACACGGGGTGTCAAGCCCTGTCAGGGCTCGCTCAGTGGATGGAGGTGCCTGAACTTGGACCGTTGGGGGACGTGTTGGCGTCTCAGGATTTTACGGCGGCTACATCGGTGCTTGTGATCCAGCAACAAATTATGAAAGCCAGTCATAGTAGCATTTTGAACTAACTTAATGTTGTGACTTTTAGATGATCATAATCAAGAACAAATCAGTTTGTAACCGCTACTTAGTCATGCTATTATCTAAACGTTGCAAGTCCTTTGGAGGAATGTTTTGTAAATCGAATAGGTCCAGATTTTGTATACTTCACACAAATTAACTAATGAGACCCTGTTGGAATAGTCAGTATATAAAATTTGTTTAGGTAGACTTTCTAGATGGGAATATCTTCATTGTTACCATTACATACCATTCAAGATGGGGATGATGTACATCATCCAAACTTCATCAATACTGCATTTTTTTCGAAGCTCCCATATGAAGAACAAAAACAAGATTTTAGAGTAGAGTTTAGGAATGATAATGGCTTGACTCATAATTGTGAAAGTTAACCCAATTGTCATATGACTCATGTTGTAATGGTTTGCACCCACACGGAACCATATATACTTCTTATGCTTTTGGGTTGAGTTGGAATTGGAATTGGCTCCAATTTGGATCAAGTCATTTGCCGTATCAAAATTGTTCTATTTGAGTTCAGATGATGATAAAAAAAGAACAATCTCAATAATTGCTTTTAACCCAATTACACATTTAATATTGGTGTTTAATTGCCACCTTTTTGTATGTTTTCAAACAAACAAAAAAGATAAAACTGAATTAGAATCGGGTGTTCATTTTCTTTTGGATACTCAATGCTACGAGTCCAATTTAGACCAAAACTAAAAACTTGGATTATAGATCTAACCTAAAAATAAAATTATCCAAATATGATTTGAACTATAATAATTAATAAATTGAGTTTAAGCACTACCTAAATACTGGTTATTTTTGTCATCCTATGTAGGCTCCAAAGCCATTTCCACTGATTTTGCAGAGCGTGGTGACAATTCTAGGTACGTAGGAGAATTACTTTATGAGAAACTTGAATTTGAATGTATCCATCCGCAAATTGTACAAGAGATATCGATGATCATGTCATTTACATATAAGTAAGTTCCTTAATTATCAGTTATCACACATATCAATTGCCAATATTTTCTTCCCCTTCCCCTCTCTTTTGTATTACACGCAAACTTAACCTAATCAATTTACTTCTCCAATGGAAAGAAATTAGTTTCAAGAATTCAAGATGAGATTGTGACTGACTTTCATGATCTGCTGTTGCACCACCAACACCGACGCAGCCGCCCCCATATCCCCACCGGCCAGAATATCCCCCACCGGCCCAAGCTCCGGCAACTCGGCCCACTCCGACAGCCCCGAAAGCGCCTCCATCTCCTCCTCGTGCCGCCGCCCGACAATGATCAGATCGAAATCCTCCTTCAACGACCGAACCACCTGCGACGTATCCGACCCGTCCCTCACTTCCTCCTCCAAGAACTTCACATTGCTGGCATCCGCCATCTCGTGTCTCAAAATCCTCAAACTCTCATCATCAAACACCTCATCCCAACTCCGTTCACTCCCCGGCCCACGACCACCGAACCCATCCCCCTCCTCCTCGTTTACCGCAAGACGACATGCCCTGAACCTCACCACCGTCAGCTGAACCCTAATATCAGAAAATATTAAAAGTTATCGTCAAACTCAAATAGACGACCATGAGTTATCGGCAAAACTAAAATCTCATCATCAACATTTAGTTTGAATTATGTTTAATTTTAATCTGTCTCAAGATGCAATCTTGCACACGCGCGTTATTTTGTAGTGTACCAAAGCTTGAGTATTTAAACCAAAAGGAATGAACGAAGAAAAAAAAAACACACACAAGCGTCACTGCGGTTTTCATTTCACAACTCATATTTGTTGTTATACGTACCTAGGGCTCCCAGCCATCCTCCCGCCGATTGCCATCGACTCCCTATCGTCGGCCCCACCAAAGAACAACACCACCACTCTATACGTCGGCGACGAGACGAACATCGACCCGACACCGTGGCTGGTCCGCCGGTCGATCAGGATACCGACCGAACACGGCGCCCTATCCAGCACCGCGATGTTCAGATTCCTCAGCTCGCCACTCTCGTGAACCAGCTGTCCCCTAGGGTTCCACTTCTTGTGGAACGGGACGATGACGATGCACACGGCCTTGTCGAACGACATCCAGCAGATATCCTCGTACATCAGCTTCAGCGGCGAGATGGCCGTGAACGCGCTGACCACGACGCCGACGCGCCTGAACTCCGTCTTGAAGTAGTTGAACACGTCGACGATCGGCTGTGACGCGGACGACGACATCAGCGACGACGCCGCGGAGGTGGCGGAGGAGGTGTCGGCGGCCTTCTGCCCGAGCTGGTGGTTGATGATCTGAGGGGTGAAGCTGCCGACGAGGTCTTGGAGGCAGAGGCCGTAGATGGAGAGAGGGCTTGTCCTCGTAGGGTTCCAGAACTCGAGCATCTTGAGGGCCGCCACTGCGTCTTCTTGCTTGTGGGCGCACGTTAGGACGGGGAGCTCGGCGTTGTGGGAGGCGAACTGGATGGATTTCCTCTTGTAGCCGACGTACTGCTTTGATGGGTCGTAGAGCAGCCTGATGAGTGGTTGAAGTGCGGTTGTCAGTACGAAGATTAGGAGCATCGCGCTGTTCGCGTCTGGTTCTCCTGCCTGTTATTAACAAAGGTATAAAATTATATAATTAACATGTGAAACATTCTCGTTGGTTTCTGACATGATATTAGAGAGCATTGGTTAGATAGCAAGGGGGACATGTAGGGTTTAAGGACCCCCATACTGCCACCCGCGCGCGATATCATATGAAAAATCAATATGTCGTAATAACTTGATTTATTGGAATCAATTGGTTATTTGACATAGTATCAGCGAGGCGAGTTCGATACCATGTCAAGAATCCGTAGGTTGCAATAATTCAAGTTATTGAAACTAGCTGGTTCTTAACATGATATCATTTAAGTCTGGTTTGATTTGTGACCAGTGGAGGATTATGGGCCCACCAACGTGCGCGATATCATGTCAAGAAACCAAGATATTAGAGTTTGGTTCTATCCAGAGAACTCCGCGGGTTATGGGTGGGTCCATTATTGTGTGATACTATATTCAGAACCATCAGGTCTCATTAATCACTCGCGAGTTAGTTATTGAGAGAGAAGATTAATTATGTATACGATCAGTAAAAACAAATAAATTTACCGCCAAGCCGCTGAAGCTCAAGAAGGAGGCGACTTCGAGGACGCCTTTGGCGTTGACGATGAGCGAAAACGCTGACGCATCCCACACGCCCATCCTACACGCCATGCACGTGAGAAAAGTCAACACCAGCTTCACCCCATACCCACAAGCCGACACCTTGAAGTCCATCATCATGTCATAGTTCTTCCAGAACCCGAACACGTCAAACGTGGATGAACAGAAAGTCAACAGCAACGGTAAGAGAAGCCCATTGGTCACCGTCTCAAGCTTCGCAATCACCCCGGTCGCCAGCGGCGACCCCGCCGGCACCACCAACCCAAACAAAAAGGGACCAAACAAGTAATAAACCCCAAAGGCATCACTGGTCGCCGACATGGTCATCAGCACCCCGATGACAAAGTTGATGTGCACCTCGCTCATGGGCTTCCCCGTCGGCGTCCTCTTGATGAGCCACAACACCACGGCCTTGGCGATGACGAAGACCATCAAGGCAAAGAACAGGCTGGACATCAGCATCTTGGTCCCGAGGGAGGAGTCGACGGTGAACACGATCTGGAGGTAGCCGAGGAAGATGGAGTAAGCGAAGCGGAGGAGCTCGCTGACGAGGGTGGATGCCAAAGCGAGGTGGCCGAGCTGCGTGTTGATGAGCTTGAGCTCCATGAGGACGGTGTTGACGCCGACGAACTGCGACGTCGTGATGAGTGCGAGGTATATGTCGGTGCTCTTGAGGAACTGCATCCTGTCCTTTTCGGAGAAGCGGCTCTCGGGGGGGAACTTGATGATGCAGGTGTGGACCATGGTGAAAGGGTAGAAGAAGATGGCGAACCCTAGGGCTAGGGCTTTCTTCCCGGAGATCTTGACAAGGCCCGGGTCCATTCTGACGCCGTTGAGGAACGAGAACATGATGAAGCCGACCTTGGCTAGGCCGGCCACGGCTTGGTTTGCGATTGGAGGGAAGAGGAGCGCGCCTGCGACGGGGAAGAGCGCGTGGAGGACGTTTGGGCCGATGAGGTAACCTGCCTGGTAAAGTACGTACGTGCGTGCATGCATGCATGCATGAGTAGTGCAATTATGAAAAATAGAAGGATGTGGAGATTAGGGTTTGGAGAGAAAGAAGAAAAAAATCGATGGGTTGAGGTTACGTACCAGCATCTCGGAGGTGATTCGAGGGAGGCGGAGGAGCTTGAGGATGGAATGGAGAGCACGAGGGAGCATGATCATGGTGACGAGCTGGAGGTGGAGACGAACCAGGTTGTGCTTCAAGATGCTTTCTCCATATTGCATGTTCCATAGGCCTGGGGAGGAAACTGGGACGTGGTCGAAGCAATCCCCGCTGAGATTCAGGCGGTGTATTGTGATTGCTGAATAATTCGTTGTCATAATTGATAATCTTCAACGTTTCTTCTTGGGAGTTGTCCTTTTTTTTTAAGAAAGGAGATTATTTCTTTTGACGTAAGGATTTAGATTGTTGGGTTAGGGATCTGAGAATTCGAGATGGGTGATTGAAAGTGATCAATGCTAGGGATTAGTGTTGTTTTTTGTTTTTATTTTCAAGAGATTTGGGTTGAAAGTGGATTATGGTGGAATATACGACGTAGATGTATATATATAGATGAGTAGATAATTGATAATGATCATTTGTTTTAACTAATTGACTTCCGACGAGAGATATTGATGAACATCATCTTGTTTATTCTCTCACTGTTTACAATTTGAGCTGCAAGATGTAAAAGCGAAGAAGAAGCTCTAAATATAGAGGTTTTGTTTAACCTTTGTTAAATACGCGTAGTGAGTTTTTTTTGTTTGAATTGAATAACACGCTAGTGGTTTTATGTTACACTGCATCTCCATAATTTATTTATTTAGGGGTCGTTTGGAAGTTGCGAATGTTAAATCGTTGCATTGTAATGAATAACCATAATATAAATGCATGTATTGATACAATGGATACATTTTAACAATACATTGTTTGGTTGTTGAGATTCTACTTTATGCATTGATTTACATAAAGTTACTTTTATAGGGAAATGTCACATTTACCCTCAACTTTTAGAATAAGACAAAAACTTTTAGGGATATAAATGGAAATAAAAAGTTAACACAAATTTAAAACCAACAATCACTACAATCTCAACTTTTAGTTGAAATTGTATAATGCATCATTTTTTGTGATTGTTGGTGGGACCTACCTAAAACAATGCATTACACTTTGACACTTCCAAATATTGTATTGTGCACAATACATGTATTCAACAAACACAACTCTAACAATCACAACTTCCAAACGACCCCTTATTCGATGTATTTTTATTGCAAGCGCGCCTAAATAATATTTCTTGTTTTCTCCTAAATAATATTACTTATGAAGGTTGGGCCTTAGAGTCGGCCTTGGCCCGATTGATCATACAACTCAAGTAAGGCTTGTTTCTCCTAAAGCAGCAGCCCATTGGATTTGATTAAGCAATAGGCACAGCACGCAGAAACTGACCTGCTCCACGTCAGCTGTAAGGGATTAGAACAATGACGCGTAGGAGATAAGAAGACAAAAGAAACGTGTCGCCAAAATACAGGCACTCTCACGACTCCGGTCCCCCACGTGGACAACTCGTGCTATGGTAAATTAGTAAAAAATGGACGAGCCTAACTCTTGAAAAATAAGTTTAAAGTGTAACATGTCACCTGTTTTCTAATCAATATATTTTCTGCTTTTGATGTCTTATTTTTTTAGCGAGTCATCATCGTATCTTTTCTTGAACCAGAGACCTTGCCTGTGAAATAAATCATCGCACTTACGGTTCAACCGATTAACTAATTGGGAGAGAATCAATAGATTTCTTTTCGGGAGCGATTCATCCTTCCCGAAAGCAGCATACAACTCTCTGTTGTACTGCGCTCTCTAAGTGTGCGTGTTCCCCCCTTCTTCCTTACCATGAGAATTTTGAAATAACTCTGATGCGAAGAAAAAAGAAGGCGTTAAGAGACCCTCCTGGCCCTACCTTAGACACTCTAAGATCCTTAAAGAGTTCTTATAATAACTCGGGTTATTTCACTTCAAAACATGGATTGTCAATTATGGTTGATTTTAGATTGTTACTTATGGTTGATGGATCTCTCGCATCATTTGCCGGTATGTAATTTGTCTGAGACTTACATTACACACCTCCATTTGGAATTCAACATCCTCGTTAAGGCTTTCCTTAGAAGGACGTGGGAGGCTCGCTGATATCACTTATAAAATCACAACTATTTTTTCAACAAAATTTTGCTCGCGTCGGGCTTATCCTTGCATGATTTTTAGTTTGGTTGGATCATGGTAACTTCTCAAAAGAAAAATTACTCATCTCTGCATTGCTCTCACACTAGCCATGTTCAACTTTAGAGTCATTACAAGTGGAAAAACTATAGCCCCTTAAGCTTAATTAAGCTCCTACGTAAAAAAAAACTGTATTAAGTTTGCAATGAAGAATCTACTTGAAGGCTGAAGCCTAACCATTATTATGAATAATGGACACTTCGCTAACGTAAAAAAAACAGAGAAGCGTATCCTGTATATAGCAAACAAGGTGCCGCCATTGCCAACAGATTTCTTTTTTGCCCGCATGATCTGATGTCCGCAAATTTCCATCCTACCGCCCATTCCATTCCATTCCATTCCCTGTCGATACGACACCAATATCCAATATGTATCAGCCAAACTTGTTGCAAAACGACACCAATATCCAATTCCCTAACTTTTCTGACTTCCTTGAAACAAGGATGCAGATCATGAGTAGCAGATGACCCGATACATGTATGTACAGAAGAAAGAAAAAAAAAGCAGCTCTCTAACGTGTCGCGTACGGTATACCCAACTTCTACCCTTTCTCGCCAACTATGTAAATGAAGGTTGAATAGTAGTTGTCCCGTTTACATGATCAACAACATTTTCCGATATTTCGCCACAATCAGATGCCTCAATAATAGATTTTTATCTAGTACAATATCGAAATTATTTTAGAATTAGTTAAGTTTATGGTTCGATAGACAACTTCATTTAATAGATTTCCCCCCATAATTTACTACTAGCATTTTTTTTCTGCTCTTGTTCATCGGTTTTTAAAGAAAAATGAGCTACACATTGTTAATCATTTCCACGTAACATCAGAATTCAATTAGGAAGTTTTTTCAGTGCCCAAAACTTATCCGTGAATTATCCTAATTGCTGTCATTTATTAGTAATTAATTAATTGCCTTCAAAAAATTAATTTATTAATTAATTAATTGTTCGGAATATGACAGTGGCAGTCTGGCAGATACATCGGGCAAATGGTAAATACAGTCAAAACCAGGGGCGCTTACAAGCAGTCTGCCCCTATATAAACCGTACAAAAGTTGAACCCATCGCCATTCTTATCCTCAATCTTCAGACCTCGTCAATCAATATTCCCCTTTTTCTCTCTCTCTCTTTCTCTCTCTCGCAGTAGCAATGGATGTCATGTTTGCTCAACGATCGTCGTCCTCCTTGAATCCGAACGCCCCGCTGTTCGTCCCGATGGCTTACCAGGCGGTGGAGGATTTCTCCGATCAGTGGTGGTCGCTCATCCAATCCTCCACCTGGTTCCGCGACTACTGGCTCCAGGAGCGCTACCAGGATCCCCAATCCGACTTCTTCCTCCCCGACGACCTCGATTTCTTCGACGACGGAGCCGATTTCCTCAGCGGCAAAGGTACTGGAAGTTCTGGAACTACTTCTACCTAGGGATTTGATTTAAGCTCGCTGAGTTCGACTCGCTCGCTGACTCGGGGGTGTTCTGTTTTTTTTTTTTTTGGTTGTTGTTGCAGATGTGGAGGAGAAGGAAGAGGAAGCGGCCCGGATGAAGTGGGACATGGTGTCGGTGGGATCGACGAAATGGAGGAAGAACGATCTGGCTCGGTCGCCGAGGTATGCAGAGAAGGCGGCGAAGATTGTGAATGTGAAGGTGAGTCCGAGGACGATTCAGCAGCCGAGGTAGATTATTGGTGGCGAGTCAGGAAGTAGAAAGAGACCGAGTTTGGGGGTTCTTTTTCATTTGTGTAGTGTTATTGTAAATAGTGCAGAAGAGTGTTTGCTTTGACGATAGTCAGGATGATCTTTCTTCATGAATCGTGATTTCCTTTCTGGGTTCTATTGCCCAAGTTTCCGTTTAGCTTGTACCTTGTACCAGTTGCAGTTACCCCCAAAAGCTAATGTAGAAAGAAAAAGAAGTACAAAAACAATGAAAGAACAGAACTTTGTTACCGTTTCTACAAATCTCAATGAACCATTCATCTGCTATACTTCATTCATGATCAGTACAAAATCGAGGCAGGGAAATTAGAACGACAATCATTTCCAGGGCTACAGAGAAGTACTGGTTGGTGTTCAGATTGCAGGGTTCTTAGAAAATTAGAACTGCTGTTGGAGCTGGCCTTCTTGGTCGTCCCAATTGGTGGCGGTCTTGCCAATCTTGTGGATCACTTTGATTACCTGTTCGGTAGTCACGTTTCCTGTCACCGTGACCTTGTTCAGCTGTGTATCGACATTGTATGTTTCGATATCTGCATCGAACAACAATCCAAGAGTCAGAATTGCTCCGAAAGCTTGCAACTAAATTCAGAGGAAAAGGCTGGAACTGGTTCACCTTTGATCTTCTTGATGGCCTTGAGGATCTTCTTGATGCATTCGTCACAGTGCAGACCCACTTTCAGCTCCACCACCTTCATTTCAGTTCATCACCAACCAAACCCATCAATGGAAAGAAAAGAACATCAAGACAGTTGCGGGAAACCAAGAGCAGTGGAAAATGATGATCGAATACACAACTTGCTTACATTAGACATTCCACGATGAACTTCTTATCAGGAGGCCCCTCGAGCCTGAAATCAGCAGGAAGTAGGAAAAGAAGCAAGGTTTAAGGGAGTAAGTTGTTGATTTGCTGGTCTGGGAAGATGATGAATGGAATGGAAAAGGAAGAAGGAAAGGAAGAGGGGAGAAGAATATAAAGTATAGACACTGGAGAAAGGTGGCGAGTGGTGAGGCAGGCAAGCTCCGGCCGCTTTATTCCATGAAAATAAGGGCCGTTGCTTTTTACCTGCAAAGCTGTGCCTTATTCCCACGGCATTGACAAAATAGGCTCTGGACAAAATTACCTGAGAGAGATCCCCTGCAGCTGGTGATATTCGATAGCTACAACCATTTTCTTAACATTTCCTTCCCTTTCCAATGCTGCAATCATTCTGTTCATTTGTACTGTACCCCAATTCCGGAAGGAACGAATGATTGATCGACTAATCTATCGTTTCTCAAAATCCAAAGGAGTTCTCGCATCATGATTTTTCCCAAGTTCTTAACTTTTATCTTGCAGAACTACAAATCAGAAAGAACAGTTGTTGATGTAAAACAAACCTGATTTCCAACTAACACTGATATATTGACAGCAGCTTTGTTTCTTCCTCGGTGGCTACCTATAAGTGTTCACAATTTTAACCAGTAGTATCCCGTCAGCATGATTCAATTTTGGATAATTTGTTTTATTTGGTAAAATATTGAGGCAACTAACTGATTAGCAGAGAGTTCCCACTTGTTTACTTCATTTTTTTTTTTTTACTTACTTATTGGAACGAAGTACGATTTCAATCCAACCTGAATAAGATACACACAAATCGTATAACAATTAACTTTTAATCCGTATTACACGTATTGGGGTGGAAATAAATCAATGGTAAAACAACTGATTTGCAGGCTGGACTGCTGGAGATTCGATCTTCGATTCCTAATTCCTAACTACATTTTCTTTAATGGAAGTACAAAATGATTATTTGGCCTTAGCCCACAATGTGAAGAAATGACTAATGAGTCTCGTTGGATATCTTATCCTAATCGTGTATGGCCCTTCATGTGTGATGTCAGCAGCACCAATAATTCAGCCTTGAATGATTGCCTCTTGGCTCCTACAAATTAAATTATAGAAGGGGCAGACAAATTTGAGAAAATATCGGTGGGATTGATTTGAAAGCCATGATTTCAGCTCCATTTGCTTGCACGAGACAAGACCTTTTCTTATCCTTTTCTTATTCAGTATTTTGTTACATGGCCACCTACTGGGCCTCTCGATGGGCCGGGCCTAAAAAAGAGGATCCGGCCCATGACAGCATTAAGCCCAAACAAGAGCGTCTCGTAGTCGTTGTCGACATTCTCATCACGAGACAACCTACGCCCACGCCGGTAACTGGAGCTGACCGCGAAATCGATCTGACCAATATAAAACAGCAGCAGATCCCAATCCGTTCATGGCATTCACCGCGGTTAATGATTTCCGCCCAATAGACGGAGCACACGTGTCGCTCCGTTGCCCAATTGGCTGCTTTGCTTCTCTTCCCGGACAGACCCCATCTCGAAAGTCAAAAATCAAAACTTCATACAAAAACAAAACCCATCTCAGAGAAATAATTCCGTTTCCTTCCCTTCTTCTGATTTCTTCCTCCATTGTTGAGCTCCTGCCGCTGCTGCGCTCACTGATTCCTCAGCAGATCGCCCCATTGAGAAGTCTCCCGTAGCAGAAGGCTTAACAATTTGTTTTGAGGGGAAGGGAATTCCAGGATGGGAAATGCCTTGCGATTTCTCTACCACAATTGCTGCAAACCGACAGCAGCAGGGGACTATGAATATCCCCATGCCGCTTCTGCACCTGCTGCGGGGGTTTCAGCCCTTGCCCACGATTTGTTCCACTTCGAGAACACCTCCCAGGTACAATTTCTTTCTTTTGGATACTCATTTCAGTAAGGATTCAACTTCTGCTGCTACTTATTGAATCTCTTTTGTTCTTCATCAACCACCCCCTTTGCTCCATGGCTTTTTTCCCACTCAGGTTCCACAAGGATTGGCTAAGCATGTCGTCTCATCGAAGAAAGCTCAAGCGAATTGGTAAAGAAAAGCTTTGATCTTGTCGTGGTTTGTGAATGCAGAAAGTGGGGCGGATTTGCCATTTTCTAGAACTGCAATTTCCTGCTGTTCTTTCAATATTTGGGTCTCTTCTGTTGTTTTTGGTGTTCAAAGGTACAGAAAGCTAATAGAAGCATGGAGAGAAGCAAACCCGCCACCGAGGACACCTGAAGAAGCTGCAAGGCTTGTGATCCAGACCCTGAAGAAACACCAAAAGGCAGATGTTGAGGTAATACACACATACAACAATAATGAAATTACTCTTGCCTTGGCTATTAGCTTTTATTTCTTTGCTTTGTCAACTGTCGGTGGTATAAAGAAATAAAGATTGAAACTTAAACAGTTCTTGTAGTTGAAGAGAATTATTAGTGAGGTTAGCCAAATGAGAAGTAAAAAAGATTTAGATAAAAAAAAGAATGCAGATTGATTGTTTATTCCAGCCTAGTTATTCTGCTAACTTGAAGATAATGAATAATTGAAGGGTTTGTTGGCTTTCTATGGTCTGCCACTTCCTCACACTCTCGTTGAAGTCCCCCATGGACATGGTGTCCCGGCATCCTTGCCAGAAGGGGTGAAGTTTGAGCTGCACACACTACCAGTAAGATCACCCAACTGAAAAGGACTCATTTCTACATGATGTTGTGAATTGAATTCATTAACGCGAGATTCTTTGAGGGGGGAAAATACAGGTGGATGGAAAGGCAGTACCAGATGGAGACACCATAACAGTCTATGTAAGCACGACCAATCCCAGGGAATCATCCTGCGTCCCAGGAGATGTTAAAATGGCGGCAGATCAGAGAGCGAAAGCACGAGCAGTGAGGAACTATGATAAGGCTGATGCACTGCACCAGAAGATTATTGATTCTGGATATAGGTAGGGTATATATATCCATATTTTGTATCGTTTGCTCAATTCTGTTTCTCAAGGCTTAATATGAATGCCTGAATGCTAATAATGACAGGGTTCTAAACATTCAGAATGAGGAGGTTCTTGCAAGAAAGTACCGAATCCGACTAAGGTAGGAACAGCAATCTGCAATCTTTTGTTACAATGTTATAATCTTCTTGTTCATATCAATGCCTGATAGATTCTGGCAATGGAAAGCACTCCAGGGGAATAGATGCACCGGAGAGTTCAATGCCATATGGGAAAGAGGCGAAAGAGGAACTGGTTAAGCATGTTCAAGGCAAGTGTTTGAGAGTCCATGTTTATGATGAAGATCGATATGGTCGGTCTGTTGGAGACGTATACTGCAACGGTTTGTTCATGCAGGTACCCACCCCTAACTGACATTGGCCTTGTTTTCATTACCTATGTTCTAAAATGCATCAAACAGCCTGCTAAACTCTTTCCATTCTGCTAGGAAATCATGCTCAAGAAAGGTTTAGCATGGCACTATACTGCCTATGACAAACGCTCCGAACTAGCATCAGTAAGTAACAAAAATGACAACCATTCTAAAACATCTATCACACCTTTGCCTTAACTATTCTCTAACTTCAAGTAATTTTGTGTATCAACAACTAGTGGGAAAAGCAGGCTCGAGCTAAACGTGTTGGGTTATGGGCTTCAAAGAATCCTCAAGAGCCATGGGAATGGAGGAAAAACAAACGTGAAGGAAGATGAAAGTGACTTCTTTCTGCACTCAAACCAGACTGACTACCCATGAATCAAAAGGATTACCAAAGATCAAAGGCACCCATCTGTAGCAGTTCCGGTTTTATGTATCTATGTATGAACCACCATTTGTAATGTTGATTGTATCTAGCTCATTGTAAGCTAACAACTGATTCTATCCGCTAGGTAAATGTAGCAGTTGCAGCATGGATCAGCACACATTCATGTTAATAAAGATAACAAGTTATCCAAGAACCAAAAGTATCCCACTTAGAAGCACACAACATGACAATGAGAAATGCCCAAAATCAGAATAAGCTCACCTATCCTGCTCGTGCTTTCAGATAAGAATGGTCAATGTGCAGCTTCTTATGAATCGGAGTCACTTGCATTGTAACCAGGGTGCTTATCTCCCACTTTCTTAGCAGAAGATCGAGTCTTTGAAGCCCTATTAATCCAAGCTCTCCCCTTCGCCAACAATTACAACAATCCAATCAAGACCCAAAAGACGAAACAAAAAATTCAACCTATTGTAGGCATGAAAGAAGAACAAGGAACTCCCCCAAAAGAAGAAGAGGAAGGAAAAGATTGAACCTTTACGACATCTTTGGGGACACCATAGCCAGCGCAATACATCTGACCCACGAGCACTTGCATCCCGATGTCGCCGGCGTTGGCATCCCTCAGCGTGTCCTCGAACCACCGCCTGACGCAATCGGAGACCACCTCCGACAGAGGATGCCTCCGCCCTCCTCCGCCCTCTCCGGCGGCGGCGAGGTCCATGTATTTCTGCTTGTTTTTCAGTTTGGCCGGGTCGTGGTTCGCCCGGTGACTCCTTCTCGGGTGGTCCGGCGGGTTCTTCTTGCCGCCACCGCCGGTTGAACAGATTATTCTTGTTGACCTAGCGCTGGTGGCGATGGGGGAATAGTAATGCAGATACAACAGCAGCGACTTTGCCATGTAAGAAATTGGATATGAAATGGGATTGCCGCCTTTTCCTGTAATTTATTATTATGAAAAACGGATGATCGATTATTTTTCTCTCTGTTTCTTGGTCGATTCGGAATGAGAGCGAGTGAGAGATGTTATGGCGTTCGGTTTTGGCAAATTTCAGTTTGGTCCTTCTGCCACCTGGCTGAAATGATATGATTGGTCTATGGATGGATGAGATTTGACTTTTGAAGAACAAGGATCTGATGTGGCAATAGCAGGTAGCTGTGTGATAATAATAATACACAAAAATTACAATTGAGAATTTTGTTGAACCAAACAAAATAGTTTAACCAAATCGATCAAATTAATTTTAAATGAAGTTTAATTGGTCTGGACAATTCCTTAAAAATGGTTTAACCAACATGAGATGGTATAAAATTCGCAGTGTCCATTAAATCATACCGTACCATCGGTTCAACCACGAAATACCAATATCGGAGGCTAAACTGATATGCGGCATTTACCGGTATAACGGTTGAACTACGGTTAAACCACGGTTTTACCATAAAATACCCTACCGCTGACTTTCCCGATACGGTCTCCGGTACGGTTTCATGGACCATGAAAATTCGACAAAATTTTTTTTTTCCAGAAGATTACTCGTTTTACCAAGATAAGAGAGTTACACTAGAGTCACATGGCTGATCACAGCTAAGAAAGAAAATCGAACCCTACCAAAATAGCGTACAATAAAAGGACTAGTCTAGTCACCAAATGCATCACCCTATTCTAACTACAACAAACCCTGCAGAAATAAAAGAAACGAAAACACCGGCAAAACAATTGAATTTCTTTCAAAATCGCTCCCCTGGGCATCCATAATCACTCCATCCGCAACCATCAAATTTGAGAAAGACTTATTTAAATAATTTCATAAATACTCTATTTATATAAGGCTAAATAGCACATTTTATCACTAAATTTACCATTTTGATCTATATTTTTTATATGGTGCTTTGCTATTTATGTTAGGAAGATACATGCAATAAATTTTTTAAGTGAACAAACTTTTAAAATAAAATGACTAGAAGAAAATAGGTGCTTACGTTTGTTTATGGAAGCTTATGCGGGGGAGTCCTGAAGGCTAAAGGTGAAGGAGGATGTAAAGAAATTAAAGTAGAAAAGGCACACAAGCGCTATGGAATAAATTATTAAAATGAATAGGCATCAACTTGTTACTTTCCTTCACCTCAAATAAATTAGAAGCTAAATGAGCTCAAGTTTTTAAAAATATTTGTTAAGACACTTTTATTGTTAAAAGTGTCGTTTGGATGGAGTATTTGTATGAGTTATTTGGGTTCAAATAACTCACAATGAGTTATTTGAACCCAAATAACTCGTTTGGCAGCGTTTTAGTGAAATGAGTTATTTGGACAGTGAGTTATTTACAAATAACTCAAAACGAGTTATTTGAAATAACTTATACCCATGTGTTATTTCGAAATAACTCGTTTTATCACTCTGCTTTTATCAAATACCACATGTCAAATACCACATTTGCATGGTTCAACCAAACGAGTTACTTTATTTCAGTTACCACTGAAATACCACGTGAACAAAAATGAGTTATTTGACTCTACAAATACCACATTGCAAATTAACCCATCCAAACGACCCTATTCTGACATCCTATATCTATAAACCAAACAAAGGTTAATGTAGTCTTTGAACACTCGACTCAAGTAGGAGTAAAAAGAAGATGACTATAGTTTTGCTTTCGTGTGTATCAAGGCGATTTTATAATATGTTATTTATCTTTTCATGGTTTCATCTGTTTCATTTTAATTTCATAATTCTCACAGGAACTCCTTCATTTCTGCATAACGCATATTGATAGTTAAAAATTATTTATTACTTATCAACCATGAATCTGCTTTATGGATGTAAAATTTGTCTAGAGTTTACTGTTTAAATGCTACAAAAGAAGATTACGATATATCGCGTGACCAACATTTTCTTTTTTAAAAACAAATAAAATAGAAGCTCTCCTTCAACCCAAAATTTCTAAACACCACATAATACATTTTATAGTACCCTCGAGATTTGCTTTCCCAAAAGCTAATTTCTATTAAAGTATATATATATAGAGGGACACACAAGAAAAAGCAATAAAAATAAGGAAAAGAACAGTAAAAAAAATCGGGCAATGACTAATTATTAGTCATACATTTATGACATTCTGTTTTGTTAGTCAAACCTATTGAATTACTAATAATTAGTCAATGTCGAATTTTAATTAAAAATTTTGTTAGTAATATTGACTTGGCAATATGTTACTGACTTGGAAGAGACGCATGGAGGTTAACATTTCAAAATTTTAGTATTTAATTTAAATAATAAAAGAGTTAGAAAATTATTAACGGTAACAAAAAAAAATGGCTAATATTTTAATGTATTACAAAAGATTTGGCTAATGATTAATAAATCAATAGGTTTGACTAATAAAAAATGATGATTTTTTCACTAATAATTAGGTATTACCCAAAAATTTCCCATAACATTTCAAAATACCAAACCTAATTAACCTTCAGCAAGAAAATAAAAGAACCAATAAAGAAAGAAACATAAAACCCCCCACCAAAGAATTTGGAAATGAAACCCAAACCACCCATTTCATTTCCACACACATAAAAAGCAACAAATACTAATCTAACATTCAAACAACGATAAAAAACCTGAAAATGAATTAAACCCTCCCAATATCTTCTTGATTCCTTCCTTCATTTTCCCACCTCCTCTTCCTCATTCATTATGTTCATGTTTAGGGTTTTTGCTTAAGAGGGAGAGAAAGAAATGGAAACTAGGGAATGGGCATATGGGGTGCCACAAGTGAGTGTGGTAGGGGATGGATATTGTTTTCCCTATTGCAAAGAGTTGGTGGTGAAGAAGAGGATTAAGGGACTTTCCAATGCCCTATTCGAAGTCTTCGATCCTTGTGATAATATCATCCTTCATGTTGAAGGCGGTGTCTGGAACTTCCGCATGAAGCGTGTTTTTCGAGATGCATCCGGCTTTCCCGTCCTTACTTTGTATGGAAAGGTACATTATATTGACTTTAATTTTTTCCTAATAATAAGGAAGATCATTGTGCAATCATGTTAATCTGGTGAGCAATTGAGATGTTCAAGATTTTTGTCATTTCTGTTTCATTTCCCTTTCCTAATGAGATGGTTATTATTATCTATAATATAATTACTTAACTATCATTCAAAATCTTTCCCATCCCTCCTAAACTAATTTAGAGATATTTGTATGCATACATGTCAATAATAAGAATAATAAAATGCCGACAAGGAATTAAATTTCAATATCTTTTGTTGGGTAAAAATGGGGAACACACAAATATAGCAGTCACTAACGTTGTGGCACAAGTGGAGTGCGTACATAAACGAGGAGAGCCCATCCCCAGAAGGGACGAACAACAATAGCATTACCAACAACAACAACAACAATCTTTTGTTCACGGTGAAGCAATCCCACCCTCTCCAAATCAAGAAGGATCTCAATGTTTACCTTGCCGACCACCATACTCTCAGCAACAACAATATAAACAATCCAATGAAGAAAATTGGTGCGCCGGACTTCAACGTCATCGGCTCCTACACCTCCCTCTCCTTCAAAGTCTACAAAGGTCATAGGATTTTGGCCGAAGTCAAACACAACTTCACCTTGGAGAGCTTCTACAAGGGGAAAGAAAGGTACACCATCAAAGTCTATCCCGAGGTTGATTATGCCTTCATCATCGCCCTCCTTGTTATCATTGACGAGAACGATACTCCTTAGACTAACAATATACTTGCTGGTTAGTGAGAATGTAACATTTCCAATATCAGGAGGATTGGATTGACAAGCCCTCATGAAAAATATCGTGTAGGAGATGTCGATAGGCTACATAATTATGTAAGATGCCATGTAACTTTTTTGGTCGTATAACTTGATTGTGGATATTAGTTGGCGACTGGGCGGCTTCCCTGTTGATTAATTGAGAGAAGGTATTTTTCTGTCGGATGAGTAAACAACTTTCATCTCGTAAGGTTATGCATTTCAATTTTCAAATACACAATTGCATGAACTTGTTTGCGAGAAGATCCAATGGTTTGGGTCTCAGGCAGGTCGGGTTTCTCGATGGGCTTGTACAGATCGGGTGGCTAACTCTGCAGCCCATGGACTCGCACGCAAGATAGCCTACTGGAATTAGAGGACTGCTTGGATTGATTGGCCCATAATTCATTCGATTCCCCGGTTGACGGGTGATAGATAGGGTTTTCAGGCTCGTCCTTTGCAAAAGTTTAGCAGGATTTTCATCGGAAAATTAACAGTATTTTTTTTATTACCGAAATTGGAGATTGGAGTTTTTTTAATTTCTGAGTGATATCAATGGAAGAAAATAGTTAAACTTACAATTCTACCCAGGACCCCTAACAGATTCTAAAGAAGTCACCCAAAAAAATCAAAAGATTCTAGCTCTACACGAGACAAAAGCAGTGCTTCACGCGCCACTCTATGGGCAGCACTGTTGGAAGATCTAAGTACCGCCCTAAACTCTATACAAACGGACAAAGAGCTAAGGATCTGAAGACACTCTCGTAACACCGGACCACCAATCGAGTCTTCAATGACGCCTTGACGGACTTGGTTGACCACCACTTCGGAATCACCTTCGACTATCACGTGGGTCAAGGATCTTGAGGCTACGATGGAGATGGCGTCTCTAAAAATTAGAAGCTGTGCCAGATAAGGATTGACTATTCCTTGATGTTGCAGCCCAAGCGCCAACACCACATGCCCGTCTGACCTACGGATAACAAGCCCAGATGAACAACCGGTGGCACAAACAGGTGCTTCGACGTTGATCTTCAAAAAGTATTCTGGTGGAGGGACCCAAGTGGTGGGACGATGATTTGTGATTAGAGAGTTGCGGGGCAGAGGAGGAGGAAGAAGATAGGAGAATTCGAGGACCTTGATGTAGAACTGTCTGGCTAGGGAACGAACATGGGGTTGGATAAATTCGAAGATCACTTTATTTCTAGACTTTCAGATTTTCCAAAGTAAATAGACGCATTGGATAATGTGGAATGGGTAGGTCTCGGAGACCATGACATGTCGCCACCATAGACTAAAGTTAACAATCTGGGAGGTCTCAATAAAGTTGCTCAATCCCACTAAAGTCTACAATCTGGTGGCTAGGGGGCATCTGAAGAATAAATGTTCAATGCTTTCTCGATGTCTCCAGCAGACAGGGCATCGATTGAGACATTTGACTCCACGAGATTGAAGGGCCACTACTGTGGGAAGTATGACTTTGAGGCATTGCCATATGAAAATTTTGAGCTTAGGCGGGACTTGGATATTCCAAGTCTTTTTCCAAATAGGAGGGTCAATGATATGCACTATCGGTTTTCGGCTTAATGCCAATGTTATTTCTAGAGCTAAGTGATAGCCCGATTTGACTGTGTATTTCCCATCCTTGGGATAGTGCCACACTCTAATGTCTTGATGTGGGTAGCGAGGAAGAGGAATTCTCCTGATGAGATCAACCGATTGAGGTTCAAAGCAATTCTTGAGTTTTGATACGTCCCATTCCCCTTGGCCTTCTTTTATGAAATAAGATGCCATAGGTGATCCATTTTGAATATGGGGTCGGGTACTCGGAATTAAGAGTTTATCCCCTGGAACCCAGTTATCTATGAAATAAGATACCATAGGTGATCCATTTTGATACGCCCTCTTCAAAACTTAGGTTAGAAGCATGTAATTAAGATAATCTCCAATAAACCAATTTGGAAGACCAAAAATCCACCCCACCTCAAAAGCCCATTTATATGTAAAAAATCAAACTTGCGTGTGTCCCATTGGTTAGTCAAACCCATTAACTGCCAATAAAGCACACATTGAAGGCCTATAATTACCATTAACGGAACCTGCCATTATCGAGCAAAGCTCTATCCCCATTAGAGCCATTGTAAGACACCTAATACCATCAAATAAATTAGATGCCGGTATCTTCCAATCAAAAGGTCAACAAAGAAAATAATTAAGTTGTCCCACATGAATAGGGAATTATTCCCCTAATAACATCAAATAAATGATTATTTAAAAGCTCATAATGAAGATTAAGTCAGTCCGAAATGGACGAATACCTCCAATAAATGAAGTTTTAATTCTTAGCGGAGGGGCATTGAATGCGGGATCGGCCGAGCAAAGCAGTCGCCGGGAAACTCTCTGTTGCGCAGCAACGACTCGAGCCTCTGCAGCTTCAGCTCATGCTTGAACCGGTTAATGAAGTCGTCCGCCTTGGAGTCAACCCCATGGTCATGATCTCTGATTGACACTTCCTTTTGCAGTCTCACCGTCGCCGGCCGACACCGTTCCTGATTAGATTCCAGTGCGTGCGCGGTGGGAGTGACGTAAAGAGATGACGATGTCGATGATGATCCGTCGTCATTGGTGAAGAGATGGTGGTAGTCCTCTGTTTTTGGATCTCGCCAACTGGATCTGCGAAGAGGGGAAGAAAAGCGGTTGAGGGATTTGAAAAGCAAGGAGGTCCGCTCCAGTGCCCACGTGGTGGTCGGGTGAGATGACGGTCCGTCCACGACGTCGTTGCAGATCCTGCATCCATCAATTCAAACACAGAGAAAGACATAGCAGGAGCAAGAAACAAACCTAACAGTTTACCATAAACAAATAGTCCAGAAATTCAGAAAAACGAGGAGAGCAATCAACAAAACAGGGGGGTTAGAGCAAGCAATCACAAATCGAAATCAAAATAGAGGAAATTCTGGCAAGCAAAGCAGAATCCGAGAGGAGAGCTACGAGAAGTAGAAAGAGCGCTCCAAATTGGAGATTGTAGTTACAACTTACATATAGTACGCAAGATAGTTATATCGTAAAGGTTAGCTACATGTAAGATAGAGTGTTGTAAGAATAAGACAGTCTGATTAGACGAAAGAAAGATTAGTATAATAGCATTGAAGGTAATATTCATCCAAATATTGAGAGCCAAGAGAATTGGAATAACGTGACCTTTCAGTAAAAATTTATATTCATGTGATGTACCAACAATAATATTATGAGAATTGGTAATTAACTATATATGAAAACTATGATTTGCTGCTAATGGAGTTATTCGTATCATATATACTAGGATTCAGTCCGCGCTCTGCTGCGGGATACTATTTCTGTCATAATTTAAATGGGATTTAATATAATCTATTACCATAATTGTTATGTCCCAAACATAGACATAAATGTTGTCATTGTCATAAACATCTAATCTATTACCATTATGCAAAAGAGTGACTGTTTTTGCAGAATAAACATGAATGTAGTTAGGAGTGTTGCCAAGTCTCCACGATGTATCTACTAAACTAATAAAAGTTCCATGGCGGAGACTGAAGATTTGGAAAACAGTAGGACAAAATGTTTTCAGAAGTTTCGTGCCTTTGTTGTTTGCACGATATCAAAATGGCAAGCTTCGAAAGACAACATCATTTCTCGAATGCTGATCGGTCCTAGAGGGTGAGCACTGTCGCTTTTGGCTGCATGTCTGAATCTATGTCCCCCACTTTTTTCCATGCGACATTCAATTCCGCAGCATATTTTTTGTTACAGTTCTTTGCGATCAATTCGATGATTTCGTCCTTCTTCAGAAACTGATAATCAGATGGTGACTTACGAATAAGTGACAAAGCTACTTCATGCTTAAACACCACATCTATTTCAGATCCTCCTTGCCGACATTTCCCTTCCAGTTTGTATGTCAGTCTTGCAATACAGTTTTTTTTGTTAGGTTATACAAAGAGTATTATTATGCCTTGTGTAAACATGGGAGAATTGTCAAAAGCTTACCTTGTGTTCTCTCCACGAACTTTGCAGATGCTTTTTCTGTATATAAACCTTGGAATGTTAATCAATGTCATGTAGGTAACCTGTTGCAAAAACTGTCAGATGTATTATACAGGTAAACAGATGGAAATAAACAGCTGTTGTCAATGCTGGTGTTTGTTCGTTTACCTCTGTGAAATCTGACAGGTCCTCCATCCTTTCTTTTATCTCTCTCAGCGATTTCTTTTGCAGTTGATTGCTCAGCAGGTGTCCAGTTTTTTTGCAAGTAGCATCATCGATGAAGTATACTGGTTTGCGACATGCAAGAAAGCTACACGTTGAAAATAAATGAGTAAGTATCACTAACTCGATAGTAGTTGAACCAATCAGTTGGGTAAACCAATATACAACAACTCACATGTTCATGACATCCTTGCAGCAGTCATGATAAGAATGGATGATGAGCTTGCTTGCAATTGTGGATTGAAATTCATGATGATACTTACTGTTATGTCTAGGAGTTACTCTACTCACTGATCTGATTGTCACAATCAGTGGTAACTTTGACTCAATTGCTGGAGCATTCTTTTGAAAATCATCAATGTCATGGCCATTGTATTCAACATAAGCCTTTGCCCCACTGATTGCAAACCAATGCGTTAACTATACATTTTGACAAAGTAAAAAAAAGTGTACAATCTTAAGTGCATACCAGACATCTTGTATGAGCAGATTGAATTTCTGAATCCTTCTTCTAATTGTTTCTGGATGAGTTAGCCTTCTAACACATCCTGAACATCTATAGATTTAATGTTTGTTATGCTTTGTTTAATGGTGTTCTTAATCATGATTAGAGAGACATATATTTACCTGAATGGCAGACAAAGTCTTCTGATAGTTGAGGCACAATGGAAAAATCGGCTGCTGTGTATGATCCTACTGGGAATTGTTGGGGTCCATTTCCTTCTTCAATGTGTCTCCTAATTTGATCTGAAGTGAGGAGCAGGCGTAACTCTCGATGGACATCGCGTTGCACTGACCTTGCTGGACCTGCTACAATATCTTGTAGTTCATGCAGGCAACCAACCTTTATTTTCTGAAAAACCTCAGATGCATCTTCTTCTTCAACTTGTGCTTCGATCAATTTGTTCTGTAAAGTCAATGGTAGATAGATATGTTGTCAATAGTTTATGTTCTTTTAGCATTTTCCAGTAGGTTAATTGATGTCCAGTGTTTGTATATTGGGAAGTTCTTTTGTCCTAACACTGAATCAAATGCTCTGAAGAATATTTATGAATATGGTTGGGGTATCTGGAGTCAAACCTTTTTGTCAAGCCAGAGCATGTGATGTGTCCTTTTCTTCCATGTGGATAAAGGCACTTCTCGGAACTCAGTCCATGTAACGACATGTCTTGCTATAACCGTTCGATTGTTTGTTCCCAAATGCAGTCCCCGAAAGCACATGCTTGATTCAATAGACTCTGCAATCCGATTAAAGACGAATCGATAAATAATAAATGGGAAAAACTTGCATAGGAATCGAGATGCGCTTGTCGGATTTATTTCCAGATTCAATGTATTTACCTTTCAGTTCGTTCGGGTCCATTTTGTGTGGGTCCACGGAATCTCACGTATCAGTTGTACTATACAACTGTAAATCTGTTGGGTAGAAGAATGCTTCCAGTCCTTCGAGATCCTGGTTTCACTTTTTTGTTTTTATCTTGACTGCGCGGTTGATTTTAGAAGGCATAAAAAACAATCGGCAGTTTATGTAAGCTAGGGTTAACTTAGGGTAAGTCCTTTTTGGATCGATTGTTTGGGCCTTGACATCGTGTTTGGGCTCTGTATGGTATGCAATGGGTTCTAACTATTGAATCAGGCCTTTTTACAGCAAAAGGCTACAATACGCTCCTGCGATGAATGTCTGTCAAGTTGTACCAGTTGGGCTCATCGATTTTCTTTCTAAGTTCTCTCTGGATAGTCCGAACCGATGTTAACTGATCATAACTCATGACTGCTTTCTGGCTTTGAGTTTCGAAATAATAAACACAAAACGTGTCTCTTGTTAAGAACAACGCAAGAACTGGAAGAACAAATTTTCCCATGCGTAAAATTCAAAAAGTTGGGAGAGTTCATAATAATCACTTCGAGCTTCTTCGATGCTTCCAAAATCAACCAGGTGCAATATCTGTGAAGGCTTCTGAATATACAATGTTTCTCGTGTAACTGGCTGGAATGTCCTCTTCATTTTCAATCAAGAATCTCAAACCACCTGCAGATCTTACTCTTGATGCTGCCACATAAAGCTGTCCATGACTGAATACTGGTTTGGGCAAATAGACTCCAACCTTGTCCAGCGTTTGACCTTGGCTCTTATTTATAGTCATCCCATAACATAACCTTACTGGGAATTGCCTCCTCTTAAGTATAAAGGGCCAGCGTTTGTCTTCTACGTTGAGTACTATTCGTGGTATAACAACCTCTTTTGTGTCAAAAGATCCTCCCATGATGTTTCCAACAATGATATTTTCTCCCAATTTCGTAATCAATATCCTCGTACCGTTGCACAGGCCGTTTGGTGGGCTCAAATTTCTCAGCAACATGATCGGAGTGTGAACCTTAAGTCTTATTTCATGATCTGGAACACCATTGAACTGAAGAGCATTCAAAAATTCTGTTGGATAAGTTTCAGCAAATAGCTGAGGTACCTCTGTATCAAGTTGCATAGAGTCTGAACTGTAGTAGCAACGGCAATGTCCAGGAATTTTTTGCAACATGAAGTCATTCACTTCAGTCACAACTGCATTAGTAGGAGTAACAATTGCCCTTCCACTTAGGTAATCTGTGCTCATGTGTTGTTCCTCAAATGTGTCATATATGTCATTTGTGATTGACTCGATTGGATTTTTTCCAGCATATATCAAGAGTATTTGTGGTATCTCAATCCAATCTGAAGGTGTGTTAGCCATAAAGGATTTTGTTGGAAGCCTTCCATCTCCTTGTGCCAGAATCCACTCACCAAAGTTCATTCCACAGCCGACCAGGTTTCTATTATCCTGTGAATCATTAAGCCTCATGTTCCTTGACAGTTTGAGCACTTTAAAAAAGGGCCACAATGATGACCTTGTGATGGATCCATCCACTGTTTGTTCCCTTCCTGAATCCGAAATTACTGGTAGGGTCTGTCTAAAATCACCACCAAAGACTACTGTTTTCCCTCCAAATAACTTGTGTTTTGGACCTGATAGTGGTATGTCCATCAAATCACAAAACGTCCTGCTTATAGCCTCAAATGCATTTCGATGTGTCATCGGTGCTTCGTCCCAAATAATCAATGAAGATGCACGTATTAGCTCAGCTAATTGAGTACCTTTCTTTATGGAACATGTAGATGCATGGTCTATATGAAGGGGAATCTTGAACCTTGAATGAGCAGTTGTGCCGTTTGGTAGTAGTGTGGCTGCTATTCCAGATGAGGCAACAACTATAGCAATTCTGGAAAGACTTTTTAATTTTGCAATGATTGCATTGTAGAGAAAAGTCTTGCCTGTTCCTCCATGGCCATATAGGAAAAATGAAGTGCCAAGGTTGTTGTTGATGGAGAGAATAATGAGTGTGAAAGCCTCTAGCTGTTTTGTGTTCAGTTTGCTAACCATAGTATTTGCCAGTAACCTTTGTTGATCATCATCAAAGTTAAGATGCTCATTAATCAGGGGATTTGATCCATCATCAGGTTCTGAATCTGTCGGTCTTGGGAGATGTAATTGCTGAAGTGAAGAACCATAAGTTCTCAGTAAAGTTTCCAGCTGATGTAACACCCAATTCTTAAGTCTCTCATCTGAAGGCTGGAAAGTTTTTGAGTGTAGCTGTTTACGAAGAGAATAAACATGATCTTCACTCATTAACCTCCATGAAGATTCAAATAGAGCATTAGGATCAGGTATCTCGCAGAACATCAGCATTGAAACAAATGTAGTCCGTATTATGTGTGGCATACTTGATGCTGCAATTTCTTGTAATACCTGAATCCATTCTGAAGAGTCCGACAGAAGCCCCAACTTTTGACATGCTCTTTCGTAAGTACTACAAACCTCCCCTTGTATTGTTCTTAAATTGAGGAAACTTGTTGCTCCTCTTACTTTGGTCTATAGCATCCTAAGAAAGAATATATCATCACTTCCTGGAGGAACATATGCTATCCTTCCTATTGCGAAACCTCTTTTCCTTGGAGTCCATTCACTGTATTCTTCATTCCATGTAAAGGAATTTGGTATCTGAGCATATGTAAGCTTTCTTGCATTGCAATCATGTCTGTTAAGTTCAAACCATGAAGTAAGATGAGTTCTGCCTGCCCTTGGATTTTGCAAAACATTTTGAATATTTGACCTTCTCTTGTATGAAACATTCTGTTGTCCATCCATGTGTACACCAAGTCGAACCACATTAGGCTCTCTGTGGTGTATAGAATACTCGTTGATTCTCCATATAGCTTCGTATGAGGACAGCGACCTGCAATCTATGAACTCTTGTATCTCGTCTTTGGTTTTTTTTGTTATATTTGATGGCACCTGAACTGAGCTTGTCGAGTCTTCTGCAACAATAAGAGATCTATCTGGTCCTTTAGTAATGTACTTAAATAAGTACTTCACTAAGCCTCCCTTGTGACATATCTCCACATTAATATGGGCTTGAGCTCTAACCAATAAGTTCCGATTGTATGGAACGACATATCTATTATCCAGCATTGCCTTTCCTTTTTGAACCTGAATGCCGGAATTTCTTCTTCTGTAAACGACATTGCCAAACTTGTCGAACAAAGTTTCTGAACAGAATTCTTTTGGAAAATACTTCGAACATTTACCATCTTTCATACATGGTGAAGTGGGGTTGTTAACACCACAAGGTCCATGAATCATGAACTTAACCACTGCAGCATACCCTTCTGGATCTAGATTGGGGTCTGGTATCTCTGCAGAAATCATCTCATCAATGTCAGATGTTGACTTTAGCTTATCCTCTTTGGCTAACCATATAAGCATATGGACATGTGGGAGGCCCCTCTTCTGAAACTCAACTGTGTAGATTACTGCGAAAAAACAGTCCATCATTTGAACTTGATAGCTCATTCAAATAATAAAAGAAATTTTATACAATGAAAGGTCATCTACAGGTAACTCACTGGCTATCGTTTTCCCGAAATATGATTCTCTTTTAAACTCGTCAATTAATATGGCAAGCTTCATGTGAAACACACGGCAGACCACCATAGGCTTCAACTCGCTGTTTGGTCCAACCATATCTGCAAAAGCATCAACAATTTATTCCCAAAGAGCATTGCAGGTAAATGTAACAAATAAATCTGGGTTACCATAATGTTGACAGGTTGCCATGGCATCATGATATAGTTGCTGCATATATCTTGGTCCTCCTGTATAAGATGATGGCATTATAATTCTTCCAAGTTTTTCTCCATCCATGTCTCCCTTTGCAAATGCATCCTGCAACCCCTGATAAACTTCTGTTCTTAAATCTTTTTGATGAGTTCTAAGAAATGCCAGGCGATTGAGTTCAATTGTTGAAAATGCATCAACACAGTAATGTTGCAATGCCTTGCCACTTTGAACCAGTGTATGCCCCTCATTCAATCGATACTGAAGTCTAAAAGCATAATACTCTTTTTGAGTAACAAATTTTCTGCGCTTTGATGCTGGACAAAAGGAGGCATTATAAGATATTTGAGGATGAAACCCATCTTCTCCGTACGGGAATAGCAATGGGAAGTGAAGAGCCTCGAATTTTGGGTTGAGGCTTGTTATACGTTTCAGCCCTTCTCCTCGATGGTCAACAATGATATCTCTATCCTCCCTATCTGCAACAAAATCACCAGGTATTAAGGCTGCAATATCAGAGCTAGTTGGCAAGTAATATTGTCGATTCCTAATTTTGATCCCAAAGATTCTGAGTCGGAGATTTGGTGTGGAGGAAAGTTGGAGATCTTGTCGAATGCGCCTAAATGTTTTGACCAACTCGTTGTTTTCATCAAGCATTCGAAGCAAACTTGCAAGTAACTCAGGCAGCAAGACTTCCTCTCGAGATGCGAAGTTTGCAATTCTATTGTTAACCTCATTTTCAGGTTCAAATATATATAGCTGAGCAAACTTGGGCCTATCTCCATCAACTGGAAGTAAGGATCCAATCCTATGGTAATTCTCACCACAAATAACCATCGAGTAAGGTCCTCTTGTTGTCAAAGAGCGTGGATCCAGTTTGGCTCCAAAAGATGTGAAACACAAAGAACCATTGTAGGGTCTAATGTTGTCTCTAAAATGCTTTGACATTGCACCTCCATTAAGATCCAACAGCTGAGCAAGCAATGGAGGTGGTGGCTTTAACAGGGGAATGCAAACTCTTCCTTTCTGACAACAAAGACTATACACAGGATTTAAGGATTTCCTGTGTCGATCCAATCATTCAGCATACCAAAAAAAAGCACCACAGAACTGACATACACAGTCAGGTTTTCCAACGCTCAGCCTATCATTGTGCAATGGCTTCCTTGCAGTTGGGACATCAACTGATGCTTTCTTTGCTTTTTGATATTGACGATCATTTGTAGCCAAACTGCAAGATGCCTCATCACCAACCATTTCTGTATAAGGATCTGGAGGAACGAACTCACTGTTGTGAGCATTTGTCGACTTTGAAATTTCCCCTGAGAGAATGAACGGCAGGCTTCTCAATCTCTTGTTTACTCTGGTGTTATCCACGTTCATATCTGTAAAGCTTTGTGTTGGATTCCTGGAGGATTCGATTGTGAAAGAAGTGTCACCTCTCTTTCGCCTCAACAGGTTGGAAGTCGCTCTCTTCTTTCTAGGTGTCATTCTGATTACATGAAGTAAATGTTTGATATCCAGTCAGACTTAAATGAGCCAAAAACAAAAGTTCAATAACTGCAAACTTCAGTGTTCTGCCTTGGTCAGACAGACAAAGAAGAGGATCCAAATCATTTAAAGAGGTTCCATTAATGTGTAACTGAAGAATAACGAATACAGACATGCTTAACTGTATCTGATGACGTGGTCTATATCACCAATGATGAGTGTCTCTGACTTGTAGCTCCAAACAGCTGATCATAAGGTCTTACCTTGCTGTATACTCCAGCTAGCTGATACTCCACTGAAGGGAAAAAGTCGACACTAACAGAATTACTTGCTGAACACAGGAGCAAAAACCAGAGGGCAAAGAGAAAGTTGAAGGTCCATTGACGAAATCTCTTTGATATCTGATGTGTTCCTTGATAAGATATTATACAATCAATATATAATTTTATATCAGGTGTCTAATCTCTATCCAAGTAGTCATTGTGACTGCTGGTTCTGTAACCAAGGGTAAACAATGATGGCTTTTGTATTTAATGCTTTAGATTTTGGGCACATAATTAACCCAAATTATTTAAATCTTGCAACCCAAAAGATTCCTTTTAATATTAGCACATGTCTGCTATCCATTACTAATCTCGCCTGTTCTTATCATATTTTTCTTGTGGACAATGCTTACTCTTTCCCATCACATGATGTAAAGAACATTTTTGTGATATTTGCATATACATACAGTTAAGACATAAATGTAAAACATAGGCACTTTAGATAAAACTATATTCCTTGATAATACATAAAAACTCCTGAGCATTCACATTCTGCAAAAGAGGGACCAAAAGGCCAGAATTTTGCTCACACTAGGGTCACAACATTTCAGGTGTCCAAACTGACCACCCTGATTTTACACAGAAAATTACATGCACTCAAAACTTACACCTCATAAACAGATACCCGAAGTACCATTAGTTTTGTCTAGAAACCAACAACATAATTTCCACAAAGTTGCCAAAATTAGCCAAGAAAGGCAACAACAAAGTTGACAAACAGGTTCCCCAGAAGTTTACAAAAGAGCTGCAAACCCTCCAACCAGCACAACTTCAAACGATCAACATAATCATCCTGCCCACCATCAAAAGGACTTCTTCCTTGCAGCAAATCCAGCATCCACAAAAGGCAACCACCTTTCCTGCACCTAGCATAACTTAGATCCAGTAAATAACATAACCAATCAACATTCAAAACTAATAAATAACACACAAAGGGATCGGACTTGAATTTATACCCTAAGATTCATACAGGCGACGCTTAGCAACGGAAGGCTTCCCAGGCGCCTGGTGTGAATCTTGGTCAGCAAGCGAAAAAGGGGACGAACTTTCTGTTTGCTCATCATCCTGCCTCACATTAGGAGATCCAGTTCCAGAAGATTCCAGCTTCTCAATCTTTACCTTAGCCAGAGGTGATATCAAGCTGCATTGTCAAAGACCAAAACAATAAATTCCAACTGCACTATAACCATGACACGATAAGTTTAAAAGTAAAAAACTCACAGACTCCTTGAAGACAAAGGCGAAACTGTCGAAGATGACTTGCTGATTTTACTCTGAGGAGTTTCAGAACCCAGCCCAGCAATGGATGACAATCCATGTACTCCCTGGCTAGTAGAACTCATCACATCCATACCATCACTCAGAGTTCCAGGAGTCCCCACTGCACCTTTCACAGCACCAACTGACTGGATATTAGAGACCTTCAAAGGATCTGCAATGGTAAAAGGAGCTGCCACAACAGTCGCCCCTGGACCTGTTCCTTTTCCTTTCACATCAGCAACAGAAAGCAAAGGTGCAATAGATGAAACAGGAGGCAGTAAATTTGGCGAAATCACGTTGGACACAACAGCATTCTCCTTGATTGCCAAAGGAACTTGAGATGAACTGCAAGATCCAAATCAGCACATAAGTATTTAGCATGCAACAACAGAAACAAAGCACAGGTTAATGCATCAATACCAAATCAAGTAAAACAGTCCAGATGTGTTACCTGAGAGGCAACCCTGCTACCTGGCCAATCTGGAATGTTGGATTCGTCCCTCCAGGTGATGCTGAGTCAACAACCTTTTCTTTTCCTTTGGATGAGCTAGATTTGTAACAGCAAAGATTAATAATTAGAATAACCCAAATCCATACCTAAATCCCCGTAATTAACTAACACAAACATAACAATAGAGCAAACAACGCTCACCTAGATGGTATGGCAGCAGAAGCTGAAGCTGCGAAAGGTACACCTGGAGCAGGCAGCATCAACATTCCTTCCTGACCAGAATAGGACTGACTTAGGGTTTGGGACGAAGAAACACTGCCTATGACATCTGGAACTCCTGTAAGACCAAGCACTGGGCCCTGAACATCACGGGGCATAACTCGGAAAACACGGAATTCACCCGTAGATACTCCACTTGACCCAACCATCGGAAGCTTGACCTCAAATCTGACAAACTGGCCGAGCAAAGCCTCAAGTTCAGGCGGTAACTGGCCAGGCCTGTGAGGATATCTCTGGGCCAGCAGTTGGGCAGATGTGAGCACCAAATTGTTCCCACACGGGCCGAAAATAATGAAAGGGGCCTCGTCAGTGGCATCACGCAGGGTCAATTGGATCTTGTAGCTAGAGACGACACAGTAAAATACAGAGATAATTCCATCAGGATAGGCGTGGGAGTGCAAACTAAAAAAAGTAGGCAAATTCTATAAGACCTGACAGGCACACATTGAAATAAACAAAAACAACAACTAATGATCAGACAAAACACACACCCAACTGTCACTTGCTGCTCAGTGATCTCCCAATGGTCAGGACACCAGTAGTTACCATTTCGCCACGTAGAACACTTTTTTCTGCACATGCTGCATGACATGTAATACCACGGGCTCCGGGACTCAACTGATCGGACTATACCACCGCAACGATGCTTTTCATCCTGAATATAAACATTGATAATCCCAGAAAGCAATAAAAACACATAAATAAATGGACAACCCGAAGACCATTCTAAAATCAAGAACTACATCAAAATGCAACTCACGACAGAAGCACCGCCATGGTGCAAATCAAGAAGCTCAGCTATGGTCCTGGTTCTCCGCTCAGCATCAGCAACAGCGTCCCCTGGGGTCGCAAACTTGACCGGCAAATCAGCAACAGGAACTCTGGATCCACCAAAACTGTATAGATGGATACAAAAAAGTAAAGCAAACCAAACACCACAAAGCAAATCTGGAACAACAAAATCACAGTTTAACAACAAAGAACCCACAAAGCAGCGAGACTGTATGCTTCTGGTATCCTCGGGCTAACAACTATACGGGTTCCAGAGGAGCTCGAACAGGAATATTCACCAGCTACACAACAAAAACAAAATCAGTTCACAATTTATGATCAAGCAGAATGGAAAAGAGTCAAAATACACACCTATCAAACGGCCAACCATGAGCCCCCCAACTCCAACGATCACTGGCTCAATGGAGTCCGCCTGAATCAAACCAGGTCGATCAAGGACTGCCGTTAGTTCATTCCAAAGCGTGATCGACACTCTCTGGCCCCTGACAGCAAAACAAAGGATCATATCTTACGTGACGATGATGAAACAGTATTCCCCAGTGGAAAATAAAATAACACAAAAGACCTACTGTGCATTCTCAAGGACCAGAACTTGTTTTGGAGTCGAGCCGTGATTAGTAACCTGATGATCAATCCCGCTAATAGAATGAAGACGGCCGACAACATCTAACAAAAAAAAGAGCAGTAAGAAGACATAAAACCCAATTCATTTCATCCAAGAAAACGCAACAATCACCTGCAAGGATACGATTGTCTCCTGGACGGTTAGACAGCTCACTATAAGGAACAACCTCAAAGGAATCAGTTGGAAATTCAGCTGCAGGTAGAGAACAGGCCTGGAAAATAGTTGTTGCTGACAACTCTATTATCAGATCAAATGAGCAAGCACGATAGAGATTCCTTGCGGCACTGAGACCAAAAGACCTTAGAACGTAGATAACTCCCACGCGCAGCACACGCTCAAATTCAGACCCAATAGAGACATCAGCAAGGCTCTGAATAAGCATACCCTGAATCAAAAACAAAAAAAAGACAGTAAAGAAAGAGCAAAGAAGGAAAAAAAAGAGCAAAAAAACAGAAAGCACTGTAATCACAAAGAATCAGCGTAAGAGAATCTACCGTCTGATCTACCCAAAGGCAACAGTGATTAAACACCCTTGTCCCAGAAGGATTCTTGGCATACCACATATGGAGCAGACGAAGCCTCAGAGTCACCTCTCTGGTACCTCCTTTGAGATTGC